TGTGCCAGCTGATGCTCCTGGGACAGCAAAGCTGATTTTCATTTCCCACTTGAAGAAAAATTGATGCAGAAACAGACAAATCCAAACAAGCTCCAAATATTTTTTTTTTAAATGCTAGGAGTTTAAAAAAAAAAAAAAAAAAAGAATCAGCAAAGGGTTATAAGGTAGGAAGTTGTGAGTAAGGAAATATAAATAAAGTCAGGAATTTTTTTCACTGATCCAATGAACCCTGAATTCTGACTTTTGTTAAAAGGGAAAAACACAATTTAAAACATAGCCAGCTGTAAAATCAAAATGAACCTAACCTCTGACAGAAAATACACATTTTGGTGCCAAACTTGAAAAAAGGCAAGGGAGCCTGTGCCATGGGAACAAGGACACTTCCACACAGGGCAGTGTATGGGCATTTTTAAACTTTCCAACTTTTACAAGCCAGAGTCCTGACTTACAGCATGACTTACCATAATCTAAATCACATACAGACTGCAATAAAACATACAATAATAGGCTGAAGGGCTTTGAAGTTGAATAAAAATGCTATTCTGGTTACTGCTGCTTAGCAAGAGAACCTGGGGGATGGCAGCCAAAGTAAAATTATGTTGTTTTAGAGGATCTTTGAAGATCCAGGAGAAATCAAATTCTGCGTATGCTGTACCTGACAATGGCCAAACAAATACAGGGCAGCTTCAATCAAGAAATATGTCAATTCTCACTAACAGTTTAATAATCAGAAGCTGTTTGAGTGACCAGTTTATTAAGGTTAATCACTGACTTTTTTAAAGCCACCCGTTAAGGAAGGTGGCACCAAAGTCAGCAGTGAAAGTGCAGAGAAATGCCACGAAAAGGCTCTTCAGCCTGCAGTGAGAACTGTGAGGAGACAGGGATGCAGACAGATACACAGCTTGAATCCCAAGCAGAAAATGACTGACAAGGGGAGGAAATGGCAGCTTTGGGGAATGGCAAATTAAGAGTTCTGGGTGTGGAAAGAAGGTAATTCTGGCTGGGTGAGACAAGCAGGAAAACAGCCAGTAGCCACTAATGAAAACAGAAACAGCAGCAAAACCAGCTGAAATGAGGGACCTGGGCAACAGCTGAAACATCAAGGCTATGGCAGCAATATTATCATGTCACATCAGTAATATTATCACTTCACCCCCACTGGTCAAAGGAAACAGGGCTTTATTTTGCTCAGCCCAAGCTCCCATAGGTGAGCTCAGTCTCCATTTTACAGATAACCAACAAAACCCAGGCATGCCAGGACATACACAAGTTTCCTTCCAAAACAAAACTTGGGAGTTCTGAGTCCTGGGAACCAGCTTTATCCTCAGGTCAGGACGGCCTTCTCAAAGAGAAAAAATAAACTCCCACACATACTTGCTTTCGGCAAGGGCAGATTTGGGAAAAGCAACAAAATTCTGACACCAGCGAGTTTCATCAATACTCAGTTTAGGGCTCGTTTGATGAAACAGCTTCATTTCTACACAATCTCCTGAGCTATTTAATAAAACAATAACGATGACAGATCTGCAGGATCAGGCCGGGGGGTGTTCCAGGAGGGAGCTGCACTCCTGTGGCACCGACACAGGGGGCTGGACGTGCCAGGCTCCCTCTCCCGTGTCTCTCCTGCCCCTTCGGCCTCATCCGGCTCGCACAAAGGACACCACGGTCTGTTTGTTCGTGCCCTCGGATGCTCCCCGGTGCTCACAGAGCACAGTGACTATTCTGTCTTATCGGCCGGCATTTCAGGTTCTTGTCTTTCAAGCGGAGGAGAAGAATCGCATTCCACCGGCCCCCGAGCCACTCCTCAAATCGCGGGAGGCAACAAAGCTACCAAGGGCTTAATCCTCTCTGATGCCACTAAATCTGGGGTCAGGGAGCATCACTCAGTCCCGCAGGCACAATTCAATATTATCTCGCAATTCGACACGATCTCTGCTCAGCCTGCCGACAGAAGTTATCCCTGTCCCGGGCACACCTGCTGACCGGGAGCTGGATCGCAGCCACCGGCTCATTCCCAGGGACCCGAGCGGGGTGGAAGCGGCAGCAGCTCACGGGATGGGAGCCGAAACATTTTGTGTGTGCAGGCTAAAAAAGCACGAGGATTAGCGCGTTATCTCCCGTAACTCAGCCTTTATAAAAGCGCAGTAATGATTTCCCACAGCAGGCCCGGCCGTGGCGGGGTCTCTCCTTCCACGACAGGATCTCCTTCCAATCGCGAAAAGTTCATGGAAGTTGGACGCGGTCGTGGAGGGCAATCCTTAATGAATCCTTATCTACACTCCGAGGTTTGTCTAACAGGGCAAATTACACCGCCAGAGCTAATCCTGACAATAAATTTCTCCAGAGAAGACAAACCCTTAAACAGCAAACAAAGGGAAAAGGAGAGGGACAAAAAAAAAACCAAAACCAAACACCCAGCTGTGCTGTAATCTGTTCTTTCCAACCTTCCCCGGCGTGTCCACACCCGCGATTCCGATACATAGTTTGAATTTAACAGGGGGGGGATGTAGCAGCCATGTTCCCAGGCATGATGCACCAGGAATTTTATTATTAGAGACGTCACGAGATCGTTAGTCAACTTAAACCCCGAAAAGAGTAAAAGAGGATAAAATACGGGCACGTAGCGAATAAGGGGGGGGGGGGGATTAAAAAAAAAAAAAAAGCCCAATGAAGGAATCACTATTCAGAACCTATTTTGAAACGGAAATAAAGCAAAATACTGAGATTTCTCTGTTTTTACCGGCTTTTTTTTTTTTTCCTGGTACGACACCACCCATGCAAAGTTCAAGCTAACGGACCCCGCTAAAAAGACAATTAAAAATAACGATTTCAATAACAAAGGCAAACCAAGGCTAAAATCCACCCCAGGCTGAGCCAAACCGCAGCGAAACCAACCCGGCCCGGCCCAGAGGCCGCTCCCGACACCGGCGGGACCCCCAGGCCCCCCGGGCCCTCCTTACCGGCGCCCCGGGCCGGGCGGGGCTCAGAGGCGGCGGCGCTGCCGAGCGGGCGGGCTCTGCACCATCGTCCTGGCGGGCTGGGGGGGGAGAGGCCGCTCCCCGGGCAGAGCCCGGCACGGACAGACAGACACACGGAGCCCGGACAGACACACGGCCGGGCCCGCCCCCGCCGCCGCTTCCGGGGCCGCAGCCGTGACCCCTCACCCGCCGGGCGGGCCGACGGTGGCGCGGGGGGGACAAGATTGCGGCGGCGCCGGCAGCGCGGGAGGAGCCGGCGGCGGGCGGGGCCCCGGGAGCGGCTCCGGCCGGGAACGGGCTCGGGAGCGGCACCGAGCAGGAACAGGCCCCCGGGAGCGGCTCCGCCGCACCTTGGTCGGGGCTCATCGCCTCGTCCCCTCAGGCCGGTGCGGCCCCGCTCCTCCCTCCCTCCCTCACAACACTCCTCGCCTTCTCCAGCCGCTCTTCACCCCCTCGTCCAATAAAAAGCTTCCAATAAAAACCGCCCCAAACGTCTTTTCTTTTGTTTGATTGTTTTCTAAAGGTGCCCAATACCTTAAAGGGTTGGGGGGTTAAACGCTTAAAGCAAAGGGCGTAACAGAAGAAACCGTCATCCTAACCGTCATTAATATTTATCATTATAATTATCAGTAATAACAGTAATATTAATATAATGGCAAAATAATTATTATGATGATGGTTATGATGTTCATAGGAGGATAACGTGAAGTCTTTTCCCTGGGAGCCGTAACACACCGGGGAGAATCCAGGAAAGGACACAGATGGTGAAGGGACAGGAGTTGGTACTTTAGAAGGGTAAAACTAAATAGTTTCCTGAACTTCATGTCTTCAAAGCTGTCCAAGACAGCCCTGAATTAATGACTAAAGTCACAGCCAATGCCTCCTCCTGCCCGAGGCCTGTGGAAGGCAGGAGGCAGCGCAGCTGGCAGCAGAAAATAACCCTGAGCGCCAGTTCCGAACACACCTGGCTGCAGATCCAGGGCAAGGACGTGTTAACCTCCCACAGGATGCCCAGGGGAAGTGTCCAACCGTTTGGTCTCCTGTGGCAGCCACTGGAGCCTCCAAGGGTCAGCTCTGTGTTGGATGGAAAACGTTCCTCGTCCCCCCTAACCCTCTTAACCCCCGTTTCCAAACTGCTGTTCGGCAGCACCAGCTGCAGCAGCATCTGCCAGTGCCTCCCTACCCAGCCCCGGGAGAATACACACCAGAGCACTTGTAAACACCGATGATAACTGGGTAGAAGAAATCAATTTAATTTCATAACTCGGTTGCGTGGAACCAAAGACGCTGCACAGTTTAATTAACCAGCATTTCCTGTAAAATAGCTTCTCTACCGAACAAAATGGGGAGCTCACACGCAAAGAAGTATTTTACAACGTAAATTCTGATTCCCAGTGATGAGCTGCAGTCTTTGTTTTCAGTGATACTGAACGAGTAGTGGGCTGTTGAAAAAAAAACAATTTCTGATACTATGACTGCCACCACAGCACAGCACCTGGATTCCAATTCACTGGGAGAGAATATTTTGATTAAACTCAGTTTCTCAAGTAACTTGTTCGTGGATACAATTCCACAATGTTTTGGAGAATGGGGGGCTCTCACTGTCTTCTACTCAAACCTGTGGGACCAGAGCACCCCTGTACTACAGCCCTGCCCAGGGATTACTACTAGGAGGAAATCACTCCTGCTTGCTGACTTTTAGGTGGGGTATGGAAATCCACCTTACCTGCCTGATTTGTTTGCTGAAAACATTCCCCCTTCAGTCGCTTGATTACAAGATGACACATGAATAAGAGATACTTTAGTTACAAATGCACCAGTACATCCTTAAGTGCTTAATCACTACAATGCCCTTTCTGCAAAGAAAAAAAAAAGAAAAAGACTTTGTTTCCCAGACTCGAACTTGAATGCCTAAGAATTGCTGTCTCCCGAATCACAGAGAATGCAGAAGCAGCCACAATTATATTCACATTAATCATTAACAGCATAACAAAACCCGGTGACGAGGTTTTTAGGAACTCATTAACAAGGACTTAATGTACACACTTTTATTTAAACATGGTAATTTACACAATGGCTAAAAGTTTACTCCCCTTCCCCCCACCCTGCCTCAGGAAAACCTGTGTACCTGGATATCAGAGATAGCACCTAGTGTTTAAAAACCATATTTAAGTATTATTTACTGCAAGCACTGGTCGGATCCGAAGCAATTTGGGCGCAGTGACACACGGATACACCGAATAATTGATATGGAAATTTAATTCCTTGTTAGCTCACTGCTGCACCTCAGCAGTGGTGCTTGGGGAGCTTGGTTATGTGGGAACACCAGGGATGCATAGTTCATAAGGATAAATACATCTGCCAGGAAGGGACAAATCACAGTCGTGGTCTGAAATTATTGCAGTGCAAATTTAATAGAGCAGTGTTTTAAAAGCAGTGGAACTGAATAAAAGAGGTAGGTACTTTCCTCCTTGATGGTAAGAACTTAACATTGCTGAAAAGCAGCTCCGTGTTCGGTATCTCAGGTACACAAACGAGTCACGGTGGGACTGGCTGAGCTGGAAGATGCTTCAAATGATAGATATATACAAAATGTTTCACTAGCATAAAAAAGTTATATTGCAAGAGGTTACTTTTGCATGGAGTGAGCTGTTATTCTTGAAATACGCCAGATCTAGACTTTCTAGTGACACAAAGCCGTATTTACCTTGATGTTCAAGGTCAAACCCTTTGCTAAAGGGGTCACCAAAGATCAGAAGATTGATGTTCCGTGAAAATAAAGTGCATTTTTCTGCTCATGCTTCTTCTAAAAGGCAACCTCTAATTATATGAACTTATTTATCTACCAGGATTGTCAAAAAATCAACCGAGACTTATCCCACTTGCAAATGACCAGGCAATGCCAGAAGAGAAAGCCACTTTCGGTGCAACTCTTGCACGATCTTCTTTCTCCCGTCCCACCTTTTGTTCCACTTTATGGAATTTTTTAATACAAATACTCCTTCCTGTTGCTGAAACCTGGCTCCACATTCTCTTCCAAAGCAGTGATATCAGCAACTTTTGTGCACCACTCAAGGCTACCAGGTGTCCTGACAGAGCAGGGAGAAGGTTTACATGGAGAGAAATGGCATTTTTAAATAGCACTTTTTCCTTTTTTTTTTTTTTTTTTACAAAGCAGATTGAGAGTCAAGTTTTCAAATCATTTCAACAATATCCTCTGTAATTCATCAGTTCTCCCATCCAGCTTATCTAAATACTAACAGTGTTTTTGCCTTCACACTGCAACATGATGGAGCTGAAAGGTGCTAAAACGAACACTTTTAGATAATTTTCACTCGTACACAAGCTGTCATGCAGAGTTGAGACATCAGGTTTTAAATCTATTTACAATTTTACATATTTTACAATATATATTTCATCTTTACAGCTACAGAATGAATTCAAACTGACATTGGTACCTTTCTGAGTCACTGCTGGAACTCGGATCCAGGTTAAACTAATCATTAAAAACAAGTAAGTGCATGCTTAGAAGGAAGCTTTCAGGAAAGATGTCAATGGACTAGTGTTGCTTAAAAATTACACCAGTTTGTGTAGAAAATTTTAAATTCAGTTCAAAAACCCACAAAAGCCTAATAGAAATCTACTCGACTAAAATAAATACAATTCATTACACTTGACAAAAAAAAAAAAAAAAGAAAAATGTACCTTTAAAAATGTACTGATTTAAGCCCGTCTGATTTTTTTTAGCCTTAAATTTATTTCCCTTCCCAAGTAGCAGATAGTACTAGGTGAGGATAATGCTGCTTTTCAGAGTTAACACTGATAATTATCCTGCATAGACCTGAGGCTGCAGTGGTGGGGGCAGCTTGTCATTCTCCACATTTTCAGAGTCAATGGCTGCTAAGGCTTGGCTTTTTGGTTTTATTTCTAAGGGATACTTCTCCACAATGTCTTCCACTTCCTTTGTGATTCCATCAGTCCAATCTATCAGGTCTTTCTCCAGTTTCTTGGCTTCGCTGACAATTCTTTCCTGTCTCTCATTCAACTGAGAGAGGAGGTCTAAGCTCTTACACATCTGTTTAACCCCCAGGCACACGTCGGGTGAGAAGCTGTCAGATTCCTGCTTCTTGGGGGACGTCTGACCCGTCATGAAACGATCGAAATCTTCTTGGCTTAGATTCAAAGACTGAGCATCCAGCTTTTCAATGAAGGCCACAGCACAGCACTGCAAACAAACCAGAGAGAGAGCACTGCAAGCCACAGTCTGGAATGTGTGTGTTCTATTCCTGATCCTGCTGGTGGACCAGTAACTGATTTTTTTTTCTTGTTTAATGACCCAAGAGATTGATCTTTTCCAGAAGTTAACTATACCAAACAGCTCATATGCCTCTTTCCTTTCCCCAGAGTCTGAGGAAGTCAAAAACTCAGCTGCCTCACTGGACAATGCGCATTCCAAACTTCAGGGTCACCTCAGGGTGTTGGGGAGGTGGGAGAACAGAAGATCAGCAGAGATCTGCCATGCTCTCAATTAACATTCTGAGGGAAGCATTGTCAAATGCCCATCTCATCTTGTGGATTCTCTGCTCCTACTGAAATAAACTTTTAATACTCTAAGCATTTCATTCAATTGTATAATTCCCTCACGAATTGCTTTATGGTGAAATGCAGAGCACACCAATAAATGCCTCCTGCAGGAGCTTTAAAAAGCCTGTTTACCTCCACAAGTTAATGGTTTAGTTCTGCTCCCTTCAAGAGAAAAAAAATCTCATATGTTCTTGCAAGTAGGAAACTTTGCATCTGTAACATCTGCACTGTTCAAACTTGGGATTTGAGGAATAGAAAGGATTTTCTCCTTGCAGAATAAAAATACACCCAAGTCTTAGTATTGGACTGTTCAAATATTATAAAGCTAAAAAAAAAGGCACTTTCTGGTTTGGAAAGCAGAGGAGGAGGAGAGAGGAGATATAACACAGCAGAACTGGCTGTACTCTAAGTAACCTCAACTACCATTTTAAGATTAGTTTTAATATTTTTTCGACGTTATGTCGTGTTTCCCTTCACTGGCAACTCCTACACCCAAATAAAAGGCAAACTCCTCGTATAAAACCCACACTATTCCTGCACTTACCAGGTTGGTGAAATAGTATCCATCCTCTCCTGTCATCAGCCTGCTGGGGTTGCAGAAGCGGGTGATGTACTGGATGTTGGACTGCAGGCGGGGCGGGTTCCCCTTCAGGACGATGTATATGAGTGTGGGCAGGAAGTCATCAGCAGAGGCTGGCTCATTTTTTGTGACTTTAATAGCATTAAAGATGTGCTTGCTGCACTTGGTGATGCAGGCTAATTTATCACGGGGGACACGCTTCGAGTCCATTTCAATAATATCTGTGAGATAAAAGAGTTCTCAGATCATTAAAAGTTACAAATCAGACACCTGAAAGGGCAGGTAATGCTAATGTTGCATCATTTCTATCTGTGGCTCTTGCTGTTCCATAAAAGTATCTGTTTATTCAACCTTCTCTTGGTTCAGTCCAAGTGTTTCAAACAGATCAGCTAAGCCCAAACACTTCTGTGCTGGAGAAACTATTCCTGCCTCACACGTGATATTCCAGTCCCATACCATAAAGACTCCTGCAAATCTCACAGCCTGGAGCCCCTTCTGATGCCAAGAGATGAGCAAGAGAGATGAAATCTGAAGCTGCAAATGTAAACTCTATCATTCACAAACCTGTAATTGCCTTTACAACCATATCAGAGACCTCTGGAATTTCTTCATTGACAGGAACACACAGCATCTGGGGAGTCACCCAGTGCAAAGCCCTGTGAGAGGACACAAGTGTTAAACTGTTCTGTGCCAGTGCCATTCAGGTGTTTGAAACCAGCTGCTTCTTGAAGTCAAGGCACAAGGAGTGCTTTGTGTGGGTGAGGCACTAGTCCAGCCTGAAGCCAGTTTATTCCACTGAAGTAATTTATTTTCAGAAGAAACAGTTTCTTGTATTTTTGCCACAATTTAACAAAAGCAAACCAATTAGTTTTCCCAGGGCAGCAACTTCCATTACCCCTTCCATTAATTTCTTCTGGATTTTAAATACGGTGTTTTTAACCCTTTCTGCTTAACGATTTTGCCACTTTTGGGGCACAGCAGGAGGTTTTTAACATGTTTGATTCAGAGCTCGTTTACAGGACTGGGGATTAGTCAACTGTTTTTCCTCTAAAGCATTACCTGATTCTCTTTTGGACAGCAAGGTCTTTCTTCTCATCATCAGTTGTTTCAGGGCAAAAGACATATTTATACTGCCGAGTCATGATGTACTTTTCAATCTGATCCATCGCCTTCTCAACTTTTTCGGGGGGCACTGCAAGGGACAAATCCCACAATTAAAGCATTCCATGGCTCCTCTGAAGGTGTAACACAGATTGACCCTGACATCACCAAATCAATATGACTGTCTCGAGCCAACCTGAGTTCATTCAGAACGAACATAATTGGAATATTTTCACTCTCTCCAGCAGAAGTGAAAGTAGAACGGGTTGAACAGCACGTGCCAAAGGAAGTCCATGCACAGGGTCACAATGCAGCACATTCAGCACACAGAGCAGCTCCAGCTGCTTGGAGCTTACAAGAATATTGTCACCCTTTGAAAATCAATCCAGTGAGGTCCTCTGAGTCCTCTGGTGCTGTTTATGTCTAAGAAAATGCCCTGGGGACGTTTAAGCTGCATCTCTCACACACCAGGCACACTAAAGCAGAACTGGCTGCTGGTGCATTACAGGGTAACGGGAGGCTCAGAGCCTGTTTGTCACCTGGGGGGAGGCCACACATTTACCTTGTTTTAAACGAACAGCACTGGATTTAAAACAAAAAATTAAAGCAGCTGAACCAAATTTTAAAGACTTTAAGCAAAATCTGTATAAACAAATTCATTTAGACTGCAAAACTTTACAGAACTGGGAATAATTCCAACTACGGGACTGGTTTGGAATGCTGCAATATTTTACAATTTTTACTTGAAAATGCAAGAGGCTTGAACCCCAAATAATCACTTTTCCAACAGTCAAGATATGAGAAAGAGGAAGCTGATACCTTTCCAACGGGTCTGTAACTTGTCTGCTACATTTTGGTAGAAGTCCTGGGCACATTCTGACTGCTCCTCAATACTTAAGTCCTGTAACAGAACACAAATTAAGTGTGTGTGTGTGTAAGAATTGGCAGCAACACCTCTGATGTTTTGTTTCTGTTTCTGTCCAGCTGCAGTAATAGTCTGAGAATGCAAAGGTATCATCAGAGCTGTTTAAATTGGCCAAATTATATTAAAAATTATGAGAAACCAAGACACATTGGCTCTTTGACATGTGAAAGACTTGCATTTATTTGCTGAACAGATAAATATTAGCAGTGGAGCTGGACAGGTGCAATGCCATTTTCCCCAGGCACATCCCTGAGTAATGCTGACAAAATAACAGATTACTAAGAGAAAGTTTGTCCCTATTTTGCCTCTGATTTTTAAAACATTATATACAGTGTGTCAAAAACCCAAGGACATAAATCACAGTTTGAAAGAGTATCTATACAGTAAACATTTCTAATGACAAAGTTACTCTGAAATACGATGTTATTTGTAAAACAGCACTGTCTTTTGGGCATCACTTAACTGAGCTCCTGAAGAACATGAGAGAGGTTTGAAGGGTTAAAATTAACTTTACTGATCAAGTTACTTTTCACCATTAAATGGCATCATAAAGCTACACTTAAAAAAAAAAAAAAAAGGAGAACTTGGCATCTGAATTCTCTAAGGGCAGACACTGGAAACTTGCCTTGAACACAAAGTCTCAGCTCTGCTGGCAGTGCTGCATTTTAGGTCTGGTTTATGTGTAAGAGCAAATTGTGTGTTTTGAGTTCTTTTTGACCAGCACAAACCATCAACGAAGAAGGAAATGAGAGCACCTTCAGTGTTTGGAACCAACAATAACACCACACTGTTTTCACAAACTCTGTGCTCAGAATGAATCCGTTTTTTTAAAAAAAAACCAAACCTTCCAGAAGTAAAGGGAATGCAAGATTCCATCAGAACTGCCTTTAACATTCAGTCCAATCTGAGGAAACAATTTGAGTAACTACAAACTAAACAGGAAAGGTGGGAGAAAGGGGGAAAAAGAGCTGTGATGAATACTGACTCATTCCAACCATAGGTGGCACTACAGACTGATTAATATTTCAAAACCATTGATTTTTTTTTTTAATGGAAAATGAAGATGTAACTCTTAAACCATATTAAAAAAAAAAAGAAAGTACAGTCAAGTTCCTGTTCCCCAAATAAAAGATGTGTGGGTTGATGTTGTATTATCTTTATAACCTTTTAGACTTAGAATGCCCCATCCCTGGAAGTGTCTAAGGCCAGGTTGGACAGGGCTTGGAGCAACCTGGGCTAGGGGAAGGTGTCCCTGCCCATGGCAGGGCTTGGAACTGGATGATCTTTAAGGTCTTTTCCAACACAAACCATTCTGTGACCCTACAATATCTAAAAACTCAGCATGTAATAGCTTATAATTCCCACAAGTCATTTTTATCTAGAAAATTGCTGAACACACTAATTTACATGGGATTTGTTCAGGACTAATTTACTTGGGTTGCAAAGGAAAGTTCTCTGAGGTACTGGGGTTGGAAGGATTCTTTGGTCACACACCACACCAAAAAAAAACAAGGCAGTCAGAACTTAAAACTGCCCTGAAATCTTCATTTAACTGAGCACATCACCTGAAGGCTCCTGTGTACACTCCCCAAAATCCAAACTGCTGGAAGAAATGCAGAATTTTCTCCATCTCTCCTCAGTTTCCCCATTTTATTCATGCAAAAGGCACATAGGACTTACCCTTTTATGATTCATTGTGTCCAAAAATAGTTTACATTGCTTATAGATGTCCTGTCCAGGCTTGTGATATGTCTTGAGAAATTCTATGAACTCCTTGGACACTCGATCTGTCTCGATGCTTGCCTGCCTGTTTATGGAAGGGCTGGGAGCTTTGGCTTCTTGGATCTCTGCTGGGAAAATTTGGGCACATCAGATAAGCTTTGTACACTGATGGATAAATTCAGGAAATGGTTAACAGGTTGGGTTGTTGTTTTTTTTTAACTGTGCAGGTGATTGATCATTTATTTCTCAGGCTTTGCCAGTGAAATGCTGGATATTATTAAACAGAACTCCAGGAAACTGAGCATTCCACTGAGGCAAAAAGACTTACAGCCACACCCCTATTTGCACTAATGGCCTTTTTATATCAGCAAATGACTGTAACATGGGTTTGCTTTGGGGTTCCTTACATTTTCATTCCCAGGTAAGGTATTTCCATGTAAAATCAAGGCTTCCAGATGGGATTCTGCAGCAGCTTAAGATAATGGAGTGGTCCCTTTTCCATTCCCCCTCACCTCCACATTACTGCTCCTTTGCTTGCACCAACACAAGTATTCACTCAACTGGCTCATCAACCAGCTCAGGGAGCAGCAGATTGGGCAGTTCTAGTCCAGGGACACTGCACACACCACTGGATGCAAGTTCAGAGAGCTGCAACCACAGGGTTGGTTTTTTCCCCACACAAAACACATGATTTTCCAAGCTGCAAGTTAATTGTGCTGCTCCAGTACCTTCACTAACCAAGTTTAGTTCACCCACCTTTCAACTTGCCAGCCAACACTGTTCAAAATGGAAGGATTGAATAGAGATGATGTAAATGAACATGGTGAAAAGCAAGCAGCAGAGGGACAGAAAACATGAAAATATTCATGGTCAACACGATACAAACAAATCTTTCAATCTGAAAATACTAACATGCACAACAACAAAAAAATCTGTGTCTCAATAAGCACACATGCAGAACTCCAAAATAAAAAGAAATACATGGGATTAATATACTTAAGGTAGCTTAATCTAGACTTAAGGTAGCTTACTGGGGGTTTTCTGTTTGTTTGGTTGTTTGTTGTTATTTGCTTTTAAAAAGATTCAGCACTAAATCCAAAGCTGTGTCATCCAGTGACTAACAAACACTGATCATCTGACCACAGCACAAGACTTCAGCATAACCTTCTCTGGGTAGTAATTTGGTCAGGCACCATTAGAACATTTACAGTATTTAAGTGATAAGAACAGAAAAGAGTTTGTAAATGTTTAAATTCCAGCTGTGGCAACTGAGATAGAAAGAGCAAAACAAACTCCTTCCCCTCCTTTTCCAGAGGGGATTTCTTTGTCCCTGAGGTTCCCAGCAGTGCAGTACAAATGCCTGGACAGGGTTCAAGCTGAAGGGTGACCACTACTGCATGTTGATCCAAATTAGCCACATTTCATATTAGGCAACCAGTAAGCAGAAAGCATAGTTCTGAAATAATAAACACAGAAAGCAGGTCTGCTTTCCTTCAACATTGAGTTCACTCTGCTGTAAAAATAATGAACCTCATTCTGCAAGTTGGCCATAAGGAATCTGATTTTTTCAGCCATATATTGAAAACAGATTTTTTTTTTAATTAATAGAGAGATGTAATCAAGAGGCAAATTACTGTTAAGTATTAAAAACCAGTGTTGGAATGAATTGTCTTAAACGAGTCACACCAAGAACTACTTGTAGACACTCAGAAGTGTTGCAGCTTCATTAATCTCTGAGCTGAAATCTTGGTTTAAGGAAAATTAATCTGTACAATGTGCACTGATTACTTAAGGACTGAAGGAACAAATGTACTTGCAGCAACAAACTATTTTCAGGTTTGTCACGTGCTCTACAAGAATTAAATCCAACTCAAGAGAAGCCGATTAAAGAAAAGAAATTCCATTTGACCAAGTTAAAGAGAAATATGCCCAAATGAAAAGGAAGAGCACTGGAGGAGTTAAGAAAGGATCACCTTCACAAGGAGCAAACACTATTAACAGTAAATATCCCTCTCAAGGCATTCTACAGAAATGCTAATTGTCACAGCAGAACATGAGCACTCCAGTGATTCACTATGGTTGTGCCACCGTCACGGAGCTGAGTCCAAGCAGGGAACATAAAAATGGGGTTTGTCATCAGCTCTGCTACACAAAACCACTCATCTTCTCCTTGTAATTTGCAAAATAAAGAATGGTACATCTTCAAATTTCTTTAGTCAGCAGAACAAGCCAGAATTGCACACAAATAACACAGGATGAGCTCCTAAGGGTGTTTGCATCCACAGGGTTGGCATCCTTTTGGTTTAAATGGAACTAGGATGTCTTCTCTTGATATGAAATTGTCTTCTTGGTTAACATAACAAACATCTGGAGATGTTTTGAGAATGCAAAAGTTCTTGAAGTGTCAACTATTAAATTGAAACAGCAGTTTCAACTTATAAACAGAATTAGAAGAGCATTCTGGAATTCTCTTTTGATAAAAAACATGGAAGTAGCACAAGATCCAGCTACTTCTTACAAAATTCTTATTTTTTGAAAGCGTGGTCACACTAAGGTGGAGCTCAAAGAAGCTTCAGCTTTATTCTTGCACTCTGCCTACCAAAAAGCAAAGAAGTGGTTTAAAGATTCAAGTTCACCTCAAGATGCTGGACCTGCTTTTTTTTTTTTTTTTGGTCATCTTCATGTTCAAGAGCAACGAGTTCAAACTGGCACAACCCTAGTTTGTACTTTGCAAAGCCCAGCTAAGAAGGAAGCTCACTAAAACCAGGCAGACAGCTTGCTCAGGCTGTGCTGCATTACCTTCAGAAGGGGAAGCCAGTTCCCAGGAGGGAGTAAAAATCTCCTTCAAATCCCTGAGAATGTTATCAGCATTTCTCTCCCTGCCGGTCTGTCCTTGCTTAAGGATTTTCTCTGGAGAGGCTGCAATGAACGCGAAAGCAAAGCGGGACACCCCGAGCAGCGGCGTGGCAGGAGAGATGGCACAGGGGTGGAAAAAGAAAACATGGAAAAGTGAGAAGAATGAACGTAAAAGAAAGGGTTTAATTACACAGGTGAATGCCTCATGTAGCCAGCTGCTGCCATGCACCAGCACAATTCCAGGATGAAATTCAGGCGTGTTTCTTATGAAGGAAATAAAGCTGTAAGGCTAAGGCAGATTTATGTTGATTTTCCTTCTGGAATTCCTACTCCACAGCCCAGCATTTTCTGGGTTTTGCCTGTCTAAGCTGTTGCTATGCAAAGACATCAGTGCCATTAATCATTCTTACTTGGAAACACATTCTGCAGAACAAACATCCAGACAACCACAAACTTGGTATTCACAACCCACATACACACAAACACTACAAGTCTCACATTTATTTTCAGTTAAAGGCACCCTGTTTACACATCCCATTTTTTCTGCTAAGGCTGTCAAAGTGCTCCACTATGGCAGCAGCAGCTGATATGTTATCCCAGGGTTTCTATCACACTTAGACATAGCAGTTTCTTCGAGGTGACTGACAGCCAGTACCTTTTCTCCTGCTTCCTTCAGGAGAAATTTCCCTTCAACTCCTAAACCATGGTATGACACTGTGGCTGACTCATGAATTTAGCAAGGACGTGTGTCAGAGGAACGAGGGACTTCAGTGGCAGACCCCTGCCAGGAACACATTTAAGCTACACTTTAGTGGAAGAACTCCTGTGTAATGCACACAAACACAGCCATAGCTTTAGGATTGCACTGTTCTATTAAAAAATTGGTTGGCATCACTCAAAAGCCCACATTTTTCTGTGTTATCAACTGCTCTCCAGGAGTGTCACTATTCCAGCTTCTTCAAAGTCAGACCCCAGAGCGCTACTCTGCCTTTTAGAACGTGACATCTGTCACAAATACTTTTAAATTTAACACGTTGCACAGAACCATTTAAAAGCAAAGAGGAGGCAGTTTACCCTTCTTAGCTCCTGCTCTGGAAGAAGCAGTGAAGAACTTCTTCACAGTCGTGACCTTTCGTGTCTTCTCATTGGTTTTCTTCTCCTCAAACTTTGAAAAGGTCAATGATTGGGCCCCTTGGGTGCTCTGACTACTGGCATAGGCTTCTTCCTCCTCACGCTGAAGCCTGGAATTGGAAAAGTATAGGTCCAATTTAAGTGCTTAAAAAACAAGACAAAGAAGCTGATTTCCTCTGCAATAATTAATTACTCATTTGACAGGCTGATTTCCCCCGTGCCCATCTTCATTTCTTGCTTCCTCCCTTCGCCACACGACATCCACCTTTTCCATGGTGCAGTGGTGGAAGTGGGGGAGAGGTCAAGATGTCCAGGGAAGATTAAATAGTAAGGTCAAAAGGGAGGAGACTGAGGTGTAATCATGGTCACCTTCCCCTCCTGTCACAGCTCTGAATTTTATAAGGCAAAGGTGACTGTGGGAGGATTTCCAAAAATCCATTCACTGCATTGTGCTGAGTTTCACAACCCCAGGCAACCCTTCACCTCCTCACTGAAGGGAAATACCCTGTCCCAATCTCAGAAATATTCTAAATATTCTGGGAAACAGATCATTGTTGGCATCATTTGTTTTCTAAGTCTTAGTAATAGATAAACCTGAAGGACTGGGGCAAACCCCCTCACTGCAGCTCTGCTGGGTGCTCTGCAGAGACCAAGCCCAGCTTTTGATCTGCAGGTACAAAAGAGGGAAGGCCAAATGCACCAATCCTTCAGCTCTTCTTCCTATGCAGGAGGATTAAAATAGGTTAAATTATATTGCCCTTCAAGATGCTGGAAGGTTGAGCCATTGTCTTTCAACATCCATCCAGCTCAGGATGGACCATAAATAGTCTTGGATCTGCAATCTCTTGGGGCAGGAATTGTATCTTATCTGTGCTGACAAGCCTGTCTGTGCACTACAACAAACAATCACAGCTTATCTGAGCCTTTAGCATCTCCCTGCTGAGCAGCTACTTATTAAAGAACTCCTTAAATCCCCCACTTTATTGTACAGAGATGTTACCAGACTGACAGCATAACTATCTGCTCTAATAATACTTAAGTTCTTATTAACTGTTTAAGCCAAATTTATGGCAGAGTTAAAAAATGACACGTCCTCTGTCCTGTACTCACTGGCACTGCTTACCTGGCACCTTTGGATCGGGCTAGAAAAGGTTCCAAACACTTTCTCTGCAATTAATCTGTTCCAGTGCCAGACAGGAAAGAGAACTTGAAAACCAAACCAAGTAACTACTCCAAAGCCTAAGGTAAGAGGGTCTAGTGGAGTGAGATACCAGAAAACTTAAGGGTTTCCAAACTGTAACCATCAGTTTGGGCCCAACTCAAGCTCAGAGACCCTTCCAGAGATGTCAACTCCTCCAGGGCACTTAATTAATGCCCTTTCTTCCTTCCCCAATGACCTTGGTTGATGTCTCACTGGGTAACTCAAGGTCTCCAAAGGGTTCCAAGCTCTACCCAAATCCAACCAAAAGCAGTTGTAGCTGCTTGGATTTTCTCACCCAAGCACAGAATTCCTCTAACACCCATTTTTAGGGTCAAGCATTTATCACACTAAGAAAGCTAAACTGTGCTGCACAAAATAAGTGCTAAGAAAAATTACCTAAATTATTAAAGCCAAAATATTTGATGCTTTTGGGTTTAACCCTGCAGTTTAAAACAATGACCACAGACAAGACTAAAATCAGTTTTTTCAATCAGCTGCTGAAATGTAAAACCCTGGTGCTGGCTATGCAAGACAATAACTGCCAACTCCAGAGGCAGGGGTATTTTAATCAAAATTGTCACTTCCACCCTTCCAACTGCGAGATAAAATTACAGATTTAAGTATGCAAATTAGGTCAAAGTATTTATTGAGAGGGAGGTGGGTGTTTACACTTGCTACTTCATAGACTTTCAGATGAAACCTCTTAAATTAGAATGTCATAAATATTCATCTTTGCATCAAGAGGAAGGTTTTAATTCCTGCTGGAAAGGTCAAATATGAGAACTTGTGATGAAACTGAGCCAGAGCAAATAGGACTAGAAAACAGGAGCCAGGAATAGTAGTGAAGTCACCCTACTGCCAAAGCTGAAGGAATAAAGGGGGTTCTTTACCGCTCTGCCAGCTCCCAATCCTCTTGAATTTGCTTCTGCCTGGCCTTATGGTATTCCTCTCTCCAGCACTTGGAGCAAAATCCCTGCCAAGCAGGATTGCCATAGTAACCACATCCCTTCTTGCACAGGAGCTCCGACTGATCCACGTGGATTCCTCTGCGTTCAGATTTCAGGTTCATTTTCTTCCTGTTTAAAAAGAAAAAAGGGTTAAAGCCAGAGACATGGCAACAGCCAGCTAGAAATAATTTCTTCTGAAGGTTTGCCTTTCAGAAGGAAGTCACCTGTTTTAATTATTTAACAGTTCCATAGCAACAAAATAAGTGCCAGAGGAGGAAGGGCACAGTTATGTAAGCTGGGAGCCCCAAAGCCAGCCCAGCATTAGCAGGAGTTTGCAGGGCTGGGACCTGCAAACAGCAGCAGGGCTGGCCCAGGGCACAGCAGCAGTGCCAGTCACACTCAGGGAGAATGGCCCGAGTGTCTGACCTCACCAGTCACAGGCACAAGGCAACAGAGGGAAAAAGAAATCACCCACAATCCAATCACCCACAAAGGGAGCAGGCTGAGCAAGAGACAGAATGGCCATGGGTTGGTGCTCAGACTCTCTGCAGAGAATCCCACCGGTGAGGCTTTAGGTATCAGAGCTTTGATCCAAGGAATGCCTTCAGAGCTCAGTGAGGTATCTCAGCTGACCCAGCAGGGCACATGAACATGCATGAGGTGCATCTCCCTTTCCTCCAGTACTCAAGTTACTTCAGAGTTAAGCTGGGTGCCTGCACACAGCACAGCTCTATAGAATTTATATATAGTGACTGCAACAAAAAGATTCTCATGCCCACACCACCACTGTGCCAAGCCTGTATTCCAAGGATCCAGCCCTCCCCTTCCCTTCCCTCGACACAAACCATCCCACGTGCCAGCTTGTTCCCAAAGGCACGTCAAATGCTGTGTCCTAATGCTAAATGCTGCATTCCTTTGAGAAGAAAAGCAGCACAGGATCATCTGCATTAGCAAGTCTAAGGTCTGCCTCTTCAAATATTCATATCTGGATTACAATACTGACAAACACACACCAGAAATATCCCAGCAGGTCCTGACCAGCAAATCCAGCCCCTTTTCCTTCCTGCCACCCTCGGCAGAGAGAGCTTTTTGTAAGCTGAGCAAACACCTCAAAGGTGCCCCGGGACATCCTTCCTTCAACAAGAGAAGCTTTCAAATGACACTGCCCCACAGTTTGAAGACCCTGCCCTCCACCCCAGAGCTTTGGGTCAAACAGGGTGACCAGAACACACTCAGAGATGCCATGGATGGAAAGTAAGATGAAAAGTGATTTTCTTAAGCTGAAGAATAGCAGTAGCTTGTCAGAATTATCTTGTTTTCCCCTCAAATTCCACTCCAAACTCCTCTCTGGGTCATCCACCAAAACAGATGCAGGATGCACAACTGGCATTGCCACTGACAGTTTACTACTATAGGAAATAACAGCTATTTCCTTCAGAGCTGGATTATCTAAGATGAACCACTTAAAAAGACTGATAATTTTTAACATTTCCCATTAATCTAATCAAGTTATTTTAAGCATAGTAACAGGAAACACACATGATTTTCTCTGAGTGGGGAATATCTCATCCATTAAGACTCCTTCGCTAACATCTTTTCTATCTTTGAAAGAAGTAATGAGTTTTGAAAAATAATCTAAAAATAGTTTCATTGTAGAGGCATGTATATTAAAGGAATCAGTCTCTTAATGGCATAATTATGAAGACACATTTTCTAATTTATACAGACAGAGAGCAGCTGAATATTCTTTTCCTTCACTCTGAAGTGTCTGACAGTTAAATAGACATTAATGTGCTTCTGCAAAGCAAAATGAAAAAAAAACACAAAAAAAAACCCCAAAAACACCAAAACCTAAATTTTAAATATTTGAGAGCTTTACTTCATTCCCATATGGACAAATTAATAGAAAAACATAAATACATTGCCTTCACAAAAATATTTTGGTTTCATTTGCTGACTTCTCAAGGAAGGTCTCTGTGTAGGCTATGACATACTGACAGTGTGTGTTATACAATCTATCTGACAATCTACCTCACAGCCCAGAAGTTAAACATCTGCTGTCTGTCAGCTGCACAGCCTGGGACGGAAACTGCACTTTGGTACTATTTGGACACACAGCCCACTCTCAGAGCATCACACCTGCCCTTCACCACCAACTCTGGAAAGAAAAGGGAAGCGAAAGCCTCAAAATCTTTACTTGCCGCTGGTTCAGTTTCAAGACCACTTCTTAAAACCAGAAGCTGCGGCAGCACTTTGATCAGAGGCTTCTATTGCAGGTGCCTGTACTGGAAAAAAATCAACCTGCATTAAATGCTCAATATTGCCATTAGTGGCAAAGCTGATCACTCTGAATGTTTTCACTGTAAACCCTGGGGAGCTACGAAGACACAGCACACAAAAACATTTTCATAACATGAACTTCACAGAAATTCTACAACTGATCTGCAGCACCCAGGGAAATGAAGCCCTGTTCCTCTCACCCACCACAGCACTCACAACAGCTTTGCCACTGCAATCTGCAGGTCACTGCCATGAACTCAGGTGTCTTCCTCAAAAGCACAGATGTTTTCAGAAACATCTGTCTCTCTGAAAGCCCCCCACTGTTCCTACGCCAGTTGTGCACTTTCACTCTCTCCAGAGATGCACAAAAATCAGCTTTCTGTGCCCACAGAGCTTTACCCACACACCTCTGGCATCCCGCTCCCCCTCTGTGCACATCAGAGCTAAAAATAAGGTTCTGTTCAGTGTCAAAGTCCAGCAGCTTTCCCCAGGTCTGTAAACAGCTGCAAAGTCAAGGCACTAGAAAGTTGTTCTGTTCCCTCCCCTTCACGTGTTTTCCACGGCAGTTACATCAGCTCCACATCCAGGGACTGAAGGGGTCACCCTGAATCAAGTGGAAGGAGTCACATGCTGCACAGGAAGCAGAGGTTTTCTGCCTCCTTGGAACAGGAGAAGTTTCACAGCCAACTTCTGCAGGTCAGCATTAACATTTTAATGAACAGAACAACTCAAGTTTTGATTAATACCTAGAAATGTTTTGTTGGGACTTCTGAGTGTCCCAAATGCTTTTTTTTTCCCCTTTCTCTATTCCCTTCTCTCCCTCCCACCCCAGCTAAAGGTGTATCATTCCTTATTCCAAGGTCAACTCCTCGATGTGTTTGCACAGTCACACCACTTATTTTGCATGGTCAGACCTGTTATTTTACTCGTGCCCCGAAAGCATGACCTGTTCAAAGCTCAATCCTGAGTAATGTAACACAAAACAAAGAACAAATTTGTTGTTTTCATGGAGAGGTAATTTACACCAAACATCCTTGTTGCATCTCCTGTATCCCAGTTAAAACACATCTCAACAACTTCAAGAAGCACCACATCTCCCTCCCAGGAGCAAACACCTGTAATTTAAAATAGACTCATACACTGCTTTGTTCAAGTGCCTCAAATCAGCTCTGCTGTGAATATCATCAGGGAAAGCAGGGAAATAAATGACACCTCCTTGCACATCCCCTCACAAACACCATGGCACAGAATCCTCCTTTAAGGGTTTCTGTACCAGTACTAGACCTCACCACACATCAACATCTGTGCTGAATGAAGAGTTTAGAAAAAGAATGGGCTTTTAGTTATTAATTTACAAAATCCCTTTCCCCTCGTTACTTATTTGCAAGTAAAAGCGTCTTGCCTCCCATTCTCCTCTGAAATGGAAAAATGGAAAGCTCCTTTCCATGACTGGGATCTTTGAGCTCCGCCTCACACCCCATGTGTGTGGCTCCCCAAGGCGTCACTGCAAACACGACCTGTTACACCCTGGCTGAAAAAGGGGAATTACTCTGGACAATCACGACATGGAAAGCTGTCCCACTGCTGGCAACCAGTGCATCTGCACCCCAGCTCCCAGGGGATGAGGCTGTGGGGACACCAAAGAGCTCCTTGTCTCACTGCCACAAGCATTCCCTGCTACAGCTTCAGCTGCCCATGGCCATGTCCTTCCCTGCTGTTCCACATGCCCAGCTTGGCTTTTCCAAACTCCCCAGATATCAAAATATTGGTGCAGAGTTGGTAAATGAGGCGTGTGATTCCTGTTAACTCAGATGCACCTGAAGGGTTGCACACCAAAGGTCTCTGATGACAGATCAGATCTCCTTCTCCAGCTGCTTCATAAGCACCTTACAGCAGTTTTGTTATGATGTCTGGCATGTGGGAAAAAACCCCAGGCCACTGTGGTTTAATTCAAAATTAGCCTTTTACTTGCTTTAATGCAATTTATCAACACATTTTTTTCTTGTGCCTAGACTCACCTAATTTTTTTTTCTTTTATTCATCTGTTCACTTAGAGCAAATACATTTTAAAAAGTGCAATACGAGCTCAGAGGTTCCTCACCCCTTGCTCACACCCCTAGGTTTTTCCTGTCAAGTCTGTCATCCAAGAAGAATATCCAACAAATCACAGCTCTGACTCCAGAAAATGGAAATTCACATAGTTTTTGGCTGGTTTTTTTTTTTTTAGGAAGGATAAACCAGCTGTCTGCCTCCCAGTTCCTCTGTGCCTCTGTCAGAACCGAAACTGAAAACAGAGGTGCAAACAGCTCAGGGTTTCAGTCACCACAGCCAGCGAAGCAGACCATGAACAAAACCAGTAAAACCAACTTTCCTGCAGAACACTCTGGCTGACAGCCACATCACTTTCCCCAGCACACACTTTGATCTGCCTTTGAAGATTTACTAAAGAAAACACAGAAGGAGTTAAGACACAGGAAACATGAATTTTGTTATGAGTCCATAAACCCTCGGGCTGGTTTTGTGCCACGGTGGGGACTGAAGGAGCAGCAATCATTGCCCCAGGACACTGGACCTTTTGTATGACACAGAAAAGATTGTATTTTAATTTTCACGCAGACCAGATTACAAAATAGCTGGAAATATTCACGGTGAACCTATTAAAGCAGGTATCAGTCACAGCAAAGAGAATGTGCACCCTTGGCTTTTATGTAGTAGCAAAAAGGGGCTCCTGCAATCCAAATGGGATCTGTCACTGAGGGCTGATTTAATGCACACATGAAAGACTAAACTTACATAACACCTTCTTTTCAGCAATAAACCCAAGATAGTTTTCATAACACATCAGGGTTTCCAAAGACTGCAGACACAGCTCTGGCTTCAGCAGAAGCACTGTGTGAAATATGGTTTAGGAGCAGGATAGATTTCCCGTGGGCTCCAGCAGCACCAGCTTGTTTTCCTGGTTCTCTTCCAGCTCCCAGGGAAGGAGCAGGCAGGTCCTTCCACTGCCAGTGCAGGTTGTGTCACCACCACGACGACAAGATATCGACTGGGTCATAAACTATTTATTAGCCCTGGATTGCTGAGGTCACCTTGGAGAGAAGAGCTGGCTGGGAAAGCTCACACTCCAAAGCTGAAGAGGAAGGGTCTGGTTTAATCAATGTCTAAACACCTCTGGTAAGAGGCAACTGCAAGGCAATATGTAATTACTGCAAGCTATGAGAAATACTTTGTTACAGACTCTGCACACTAAGGCTGGAAATGAAAGCAGGAGCTTTGCAAGACTGTTCTGTAAATGAGTTTCACTATTAGTAACAAAGTTCATTAAAGAATGTATCTAAGTCAGGAAAACAGGTAACAGACTCATAACTCGTGGGTTTGTTTTGGGTTGTGGCTTTGTTTTGGTTTCTTTTGTCGTTGTTATTTTGGTGGTTTTTTTTTTTGTTTTCCTCCACAAAACCAACAGCCTTCTCAAAAAAAAATCCCTTGGCACAACTATTGGCAACAACCCACACCAGTCTCTTCACTGAGAAGGACTTAATGCACAACTCGAATTCCTCTTATTCAAAAACATCCAAGTGCTCCAAAGAGCGTTCACAATGTCTCACCACTCACTGCAAACTGTTTGGTCATCGATGGCCATCCCCAGGCGTGGGATTTTAGAGCAGGAAGAGAAGGAAAACTGAGGAAGTCTCCAAACACACAATTGTTACGTTAAGTGTTGCTGTTTCACGTTTTACAGGTGCCTGAATGCCACATCACACTTCAGACCAAGAGAGAAGCAAGCAACTTCATTTACTAAAAATAAATTTACAAGGTAGATTAGAAAGTGTATCAAAACTGAGGGGCTGGAGGGATGGGGTTGGGTTAAGTTCTCTAACAGCTGTGTATTTTGCCAGTGGAAAAAGGCCCTTAAAATGTATCTAATCCAAAAAACAATCACTGACCCAAATGCCACAAAACTCATAAGAGCAACCTACGTGTCGAAATAGTCGTGATTCAGGTGTAACCCCAAACATTCAGGCATGTAATTAGCAGAAGGCTAATTAAACATGAGCTAATTTCCTCCAAAGGAAAGGGTGGGGCAATATGATCTCAGAAACTGCAACAGCCATTAGACAGGTTGGGAATTAGGCAAGGAATCCAAGCTGCTGTCTTTGTTGGGTTCACAGTTTTACCGTGCCCCTTTCTTGCAGTCGGGAGATTCCATCCACAGCAGTTGTTTCCTTGGATAAACAGTGCAGGCTGCTAAAAAAATGATCCAAGGAAACCAACAGTCCTTACTGCGATGCCAGACAAGGGCTGAGCAGCCACCTCAAACAAACCACACTGCCGGGGACTGTCATTTGGAGGGGAAATTGCAGCCACCACTTAAAAACCTCCCAAACCTCATGGCCACGAGGCTCCAACACTGCTCCCAGCTCGGAGATGTGCTTTCCCTCTCAAATGTCAGCTCAGGCCTGAAGCTACAGGTTTGTTTGTCCCCATTAAATCCTTAACTCCTGCCTGTAGCCATGGCCCCCCAGCTCCGAGCAGGAGCAGCACAGACTCATGAATGACCAGACTGTGCCTCACCATCTACATGTGACCCACAGCTGTGCTCCTCAATGCAGTCACAGGAAACATCTAAAAACTCTTTGCGCTCTTTGATTGGGAATTCAAGAATATGAAGCTAAAACTTCTGAAATCTCTTCAGAAACTTCTTTTCCATGCTACTTTTTTGCCAACCTGTCACCTGGACACAGATTAAAATTAAGTTGCCTACAACCTCAAGAGAGCAACTTCGAAACATCTTATACACTTTGTACCTGACTCCTTACTTAACAGCATTTTAGCAGGACTTCACAAGCACAGTTTTCAGGTCTAGTTTTAGATCATAAGTAAGTTAATCATCTGGGAAAAAACCCAAGCATAGTTGGGGATTATACAGCAAACATCAAGAGGGGGAGGAGGGAGCTAAGAAAGAGTGTTCTAGCTTAAATAACACTGCAGAACAAAATTAAATACCAGGATCATGGACTATCTGCAAGCTTATAATCAACAAGTCTGTTGTGTAAAGGGGTAAGTAAAGGGGTCTTGGGAATCGCTATATTTGGCTTTTTAACCTATTCTTCCCGTTCATTTTATGCTGTTTTGGTTTTTTTCTGTCAGCAAAGCAGTCCATTGAGCTACAATTCTCTTCCTAATCCTCCCTGCTGCAAAACACTTGTGTAACCACATCCAGAAGGCCAATACATTCAACTCCAGAGTAAAGCACTGTTCCTGGAAAACACCATGTCCTTCTATGCTGGTTGGTCACTGATCTCAAAGGAGTCTTGAGCAACTGCAAAACCCAGAGCAGCTCAGTGCTCTTCCTAAAGTACTGGTGTGAGGCACTGCCAGCACTAAGCACTGCTTCAAAATCAGTTTAATGACTAGTGGGATTTAAATCATAACCTCCACAATGCCACCCTTTCTCCAAAACCGTGCAGTGCTGCTAATTCCCAGCCCTGGGCCAGATCAGGGCCCCACTCAGCCAAAAAAAACCCCAAAACAAAACAATTTAATTTTTCTTCCAAAACCCCCTCAAGTCAAGCCAGCTCCCTATCACAGTGATGCTGCTCCTGCCACACACCAGCAGGGTTTAAGACAGCACTGAACAAGCCCCTCAGAGAATTTTTTTGTGACTCCAAGCACGTCATTCATCTTTCAATGTCTCACACCCTCTCTGAGGATACAGCCACTCCCTGCTTCAAGGAACAACCTGAACACTACCCCAAGTGCCTCAAAGAGTGACAAACACCCACAAAAGTAGCCAAAACGCGCTGCTCAGCATCTTTAAGTATTCTCCAGACTTCACCTGGCTTGAATTTAAAGGACTTTGATCCTCAGCCGTGCAGTGAGAAGCCAGCCAGTGGCAATACTCACAGGAAAAAAGCCAAATAACTCATTGATCCGCAAGGAACTCATCAGGAAAACAGGCGGGGCAGGAGGAGGGCATATTGGGAAAGGTATCAGTGACACCTGCTCCTTGTTAACTATGGAAACAGACCCGTGGAATTAAAAAAAAAAAAAATTCTTTAGAACCACATTAAAAATATTTAAAAATATAAAAATATATACACATAATAAAAAGAAATTCGTTTTAGGAGCTGCACATGGAGAAAGACAAACACCCACAAAAGCATCCAAAACGCACTGCTCAGAGGCATCTTAAATAATGCTCCCAACTTCACCTGGCTTGAGTTTAAAGGGCTTTAATCCTCAGCCGGGCAGTGGCAACACTCACAAGAAAAAAACAAAAACTCACTGATCCACAAGGAACTCATCAGGAAAACGGGCTGGGAGGGCACACTGGGCAAGGTATCAGTGACACCTGCTTAACTGTTCGAGCACACCCATGGAATTAATATGTATATACTTAAAAATATATACACAATAAAGATTAGTTTTAGGAGCTGCACACGGAGGAAGGTTAAGTTTTAGTGTATCCCGACCCTGCCGTCCCTGTGGGGCGCGGGGGACCCCCCGCCCAGCCCCGGGGAGCGGGGCCGGAGCGAAGCCCCTCGGACACGGACCCCGGACACCCGACCCCTATAACGAGGGTGGGCGATACCGGAGGGTCCCCGCCGCTCCCCCCACGTCCCCTCAGCCAGGGCAGGGCCCGCGGCCCCTCGGCTCTCACCGGCTGCCCCGGGCGGCGGGGCCGTCCCGTCCCGTCCGGCTGTGCTGCTCCCGCGGCCCCGCTCGGCCCGGCCCGGCGCTGCCTCCGGCCCTCCCTCCGCTCCGGCGGAAGGGCGGGCGGCACCTCCGGGGCGGGACCGCGCACGGAAGGAAGCGGAGCCGGGCCGGGCTGGGCGGAGCGGTCCCCACCGCCCTGAGGGGAGAATGGAGCCCGGCCGGGCCGGGCGGAGCGGCCCCCCCCGGCCTGAGGGGGATCGGGGCACGGCTGGTTCGGCCCCCGCCGCCCTGAGGGGGAACGGGCGGGATCGAGACCCGGGGAAGGGAAGAGCCGAGAGAGCTGCCCTGGCGCGGCAGCACCGGGGCTGTTATACGCGCTTACGATGTTCCTAATTCCTGGAAATGCGATTAGATCCACGGTTCTCTTCGCCTTCCTCTTTTCCTCCCCTTCCAGCCCAGGGAACGGCTGCGTTCCCTTCCCTCCCTCCACACGCCCCCCAGCCCAGCTCCTCTGTTGTCACCCCAAACCCCAGGCCCTGCCCCAGAGCTGCATTTGTGCTGACTGCAGCACACAGAGAAACAGCCACTGCCATTTCAAACTTACTCCCCTTTCCATTCTCAGTTACCTGGTTTTGGTCTCTTTTTTCCCCCTCCCACACTGTGTCTCAGACATCCTGCTATGAAACAGCAGGACAGATGGACAGCAAGGAAATGCTATTTTTATTTACTTCAGAAACATATTTCTGAACGCAGCCAGCTAAGCAAATCCAGAATTTTTTTTTTTTTTTTCGAGCATTGCACAATCAGCCACAGCTACTGGGACTTTCTCTGCGCTGTATCACATGGGCTGGAGGGAAGGAAACAGAACAGAAATGATGTGACACCAGTCAGCATCCCCGGGGAGAGAGCAGACACTGCACAAATGCCATCTGCTAAGGAAGTGATGAGGAACGACTTGGTGCCATTAAAACAGCCCGAGACAGAGACTGGTGTCTTAATTTTCATTTGCAGTCATGCAAAGCAAACTCAGATCCCGAGGAAGGTGAGGAGGGGCACCGCAGTGGCTGCAGAACAGACGAGCCAGATTCCAGCAGTTTTCAGTATAATAATCTTTTATTGCACAACACAAATTTATATCCACATTTTCTTCTATGTGTTTTAAATAAAAAACATAGACTATATATTACCCGAACTGAAAAGTCAAAAGTATTAAGAAATAATACACTGCAGTACTCACAGTATTGAACATCACACGTCAACAGAATTATAAACAAAACACATTTGGAGAGAATTCCAAACCCTGATCGTTAGCATCCAGGCTGGATTTTCAAAGGCATTACGGGTTACAATGCATAGACACATACAATTCAGAATTCAGCAAAACAAAATCCATTTATAAAAGTCACAGTGAAAGTGGAGGTAAACTTATACTAAGCTTGTGTAAGTAAAATGACTAAGAACTGCTGTTCTGGAAAGTGATTTCCAGTTAGAGAACTACACACAGGAGATAATAAACAGAACATAATTACCCACTGAAATCAGCTTATTTGCAGAAAGATAATGAAAGACTGGGGGGGGGGGGATTCTGTTAAGTGAAATTATGTTTCCATAGCCCAAAACTCAGAACCATCCTGGGTCCTCTCTGCTGTGTATGAATGACCTGAAAACATTTACAATTGTTTCCCTACAAATGACCAAAGAGATGTGTACAACTTCAGGAACCACAACTTAAAGCCAGTGGGGTCTATAAATTGCCCAGAGTAAAGTAGTTATTAAATGACAGAAGTGAAAGAAATATATCCCAGAGTTTTATGGGGAGTCAAGAGATCATTTTTCTACAGTCCCTGCTCTGAAGTCTTCTTCTACCTGTCCTGCAGTTGTGTCCCAAATGATTACTCTGCTTTGCCATGCAGAAAGATCCAGCTGTGGCACAAAATTCAAGCAGTGTTACCCTGCAACTCACTGGATTTTCACACCCTTTTAACTCCCAGAATCAACAACACAACGAACTCCCACAGAAATGGACCAGTGGAAGTTGCCAGGAATTCTGACAGACTGAGCTCACACAAATGGTGCTGAAGGTTCCTCTGCCTCACACAGAACAAGAGCTGAAATCAAACCCAAAGAATACCCTGCAGTGGAAACCACCAGCTCTGACAGGAGCCTTTCCCTGCTGGCACTTCCATCATCTTCCTCATCACAGCACCTGTCCCACGTCATCTATGAAGAACAATGAGCAGTAAGAATAAAGCTGGTTCCCAGGGCTTGCAAATGCCAAATGAAGCTAGAAAATCATGACCTTTAATTATACCAGTAATTAGTTCTTTAAGGAAAAAAAAACCCAAACAGATGAGGGATCATGCAGTTATTCTTTAGCTCATAGCAAGTAATAAAACAAAGCTCTCCCCCCAAAATACAGCTACTTAGGCTGAATGCATATTCCTATGAAACAGCTGTAAGCCCTTAAAAGAAGTAAGTTTACATTTCTTAAGTCTTTATTTAAAAAAAAAAAAAAAAAAGAGAGAAGAGTGAAATTGAAGTGATTATGCTATAAATTAGTTTAATTGACTTACTCAGGTACTTTGGACAGTAGTAAGATTTTCACTGATTCTTTATCAGTCACTATGTTGCAATATTAAAACAACCTTTTATTTTAAAACAGACTGAGCATTCACCTTGCAAACAAATCTGAGGGTGCAGCAGAGAGAAGTAATAAATTTCCTGCACATGGAGTTGTACATTTGCATGGTCAGAGAAAGGGGATCCAGTCAGAGTCATTATCTCACTGTGAGTGTTCAGTTCATCTCCTCATGCCTCTTACACTTCAGCTAACAAAGGGAGATGTGGGGGAGTGTGGATCAGGATCTCACCAAAGTGTTCCTTTAGAGGTAGTGAGGATCATCCCTGGGGAATGCACTGCAGAACTAATTCCCTCCCACTTTCGTATTTCCAAAATCCAGCTCGTGCTCAGGACACCTCTGAAACAATTCCCTGGACATGAGCAGCAACCTCACTGGGCTTCAGGTTCCACTGGGAAAACACAGATACACCGAGAAGCACAACTGAAAGACCTGGCCAAGCCCTCACAACACATCCATTGGCTCAGAGCAGATGAGGGTTTAACGAAGCTATTGCTTGGGACAGTTTAAAATATCCACATCCTTCAGTTTGCAGGAATTTTAACAATCACTCAGCAAAGGCCAGATTAGGTCCTTGTGCAGATCAGCTCCTTCCTCATGACAGAAGTGTTTGAGTTTTGCCTTCAAGGCCAGACCCAGCCCTGAGACCACCAGAGCAAAGAATGGAGAGTGTGAGTGGATTAACAAGCCCTGATTCTCTTAATGGCTCACTGTTGAGAATCAAGGAAGATTCCTGGTTTTCCTGTAACTGTAACAGCCTTGACTCTTTCCTACATCAAACGCCTTTGGGATGAGTGATTTTACAAAATGAGGGCAGGAGATATCTAAGGCATAAACTGGCTTATCAGAAACCCAGTGTTTAACTCAACCCCTAACAAGCTTGCTAGTTTCAGGGGAGAATATTACAAAACTGAACCACAAAATCTCAAAAATATTCACATTAACAAGTTCAGGTATTTGCATATATTACATTATGAGGTGTCTCCCAGGCACACTTCCTAAAAACTTTTTAAAAAATCCATCAAAAGGGGGTCATGCAGAACTTCCTGCTGCAATAACTCGCTGCTTTTGATACTTGGGTAACTAAGACCTGAAGTGCTCCGAAACAAACCAAAGAACTCACACCCTCATCAGTGCAGAAACTGATCCCTCGTTACAGGTTTTGGTTAAAATAAGTTTTAAAATTAAAAAAAAAATGCAGCAGTCTCAGAAGAAAACGTGTACCACGAGGACCACAGAGAGTCTGTTTATGGCTCAAAGGCTTCCCAGATCAAAGCTGGCAGCACCTTCACTGTCTTCCAAGGAGGGTGGAAGTTCAGCAAGGAGTATTTCAGATCCCTTTGTAGGGTACTGGGTGTTCAAGTTAAGAAGCCCACACCAAGCTCAAAGGTTATTTTTATATATTTTTTAAGCTCTTGATATCAACAGTCATTACGTGGCTGCTGAGCATAAATACATTTTCAAGTCATTCTGAGTGATTCAGAAAGATGAGTTATTTCCCTTCTTTTTTTTAAATTTTCCTTTTTTCCCTTCCTATTTTACAAGTGTAAAACAGTTGCAGAAATGCTGAATGTGCTGAGGAATTGGCCAAGTCATTTAAGATGAGAACTGATAGTTAGAGCTCCCTTTGCTCCCTGTTACAAACCACTGGACAGTGGATTCCAGAGGGAATGTTAAATGTTCCAGAGGGAATGTTAAAAAGATTAGTCTTGTCATGTTTCTGTTCAGACACACAGCAACATTAAAAAATAGCTAACAATTCTGATTTTAAATAAGTATCCCTCAGCTGTCCCACCAGTATTCATAAAAGCAGAATAATCACTGCAACCCAGGGGTGTGATCTGGGCTTTGAAAATATTTGAGACTTATTTATGGGGGGGGGGGGGAAAGATAATTGAAATATGTGTGTTCCTGTGAATCAACTTGGAACCAAATGGAAAAAGGGCCTGTATCCAGTCTCAGAACATGAAATAAAAAATGTCTGTGCTTCAAACTGAATCAGCTACATGGACATGCACTTTTAATGATCTGCAAACATGATATTCACAGCAAGGTTATGTTGATGACATGAGACTATTTGCTGTGCCCAATTTGTTTCCAGTGTCAGCTCACAAACACAGGGATTTGAGAGATGTAAAAGTAGCTTTGTAGATGCTAAAGTGTCAAAAAAGCCAAGAGAAGCATGGAGAAATAGGCAAATATGTTCTAGCAAAGCTCTGGTCTGGCCAGATATAAAGAAAAGTCTTAAAAGGGAAGAAAGAAAAAGCAGTTATTCCATAGGCATTTAGTTTAATTAGACAATTCTAAAGCATCCATGACATACAAAACCAACCCTGGTAAACATGGATTTAGTAGATGAGCTACTCACATGTCTGTTGCAAATGGAGAATTTCAAAAGTTATGCTACACGCCAAGAAAAGTCAATAATGTTACATAAAGCAGTGATTAGATCCTACTCCCCTGCCATCCTCCTGCACAACTCCTCTGCTTCTGTCAGAAAACGAGCACAGATTAGGCAAGATCACCTCAATCATTGTAAACAAAGACTGCTTAGAGCAAGTGTAGTCAATAAAAACAGGGTGAAACCTGCCCAAATCACAGCCCAGAACGGATGTTTAATGAAAGCACGTGGGCTTTTAAATCCATGTTTTCCTTTCCAGTGTTGCACTGAGTGTCTGCTGCCTCCAGGAGGACTGCAAGGATGAGAGCTTTGATTAAGGTGCAGCTGATACACAGACCAAGATTTTCATTTCATCTTTTTGGGTAGGTAGTTTTTCCTTACTTTTTTTAAGCAATGAAAAGGAAAAAGTAATAAAATATCAGCATGTGCATATTAAGAAATAGCAAACATGACCAAAACAGGAGTTTTGTTGTCACAGCTTCTCTATAAAACCAGTGAGAAAGTTCTTAAAGCCAAACCAAAAAACACACTGATAAAAATCAGACTGTGTCTGATTCTGCAAATGGTGCTGAAATTCAAACCAGAGTTCTGTCCTGTGTAAATACACATATGAGAAATGGCAAAAAAACCCCAACAAAAACCACAGTAAAACTGCAATTCTTGTTATAATCTCTAAATAAACTATGCTAAAAATCCTATACTCAAATGTTGAAGTGGACAAGCAGCCAAAACTTTGTAAGCCTCAGCTTTAAGATCTTATGTAATTTTAGAAGAAATTGTGGTTTGCAGTTTAAGATTCCCTGAAAAAAATTAAATAACAATAAATGAAGCCAGCAAAGCTTTACTAGTCTAACTCTTAATTTTGGGCTGCCAAACACGAATACAAGAACTTGTAGCACAAAGGCCAATATTTAAGAAAACAATTTAAACAGTCTTAAGATCCAAATTCACTTAATTCCCTCTTTCCCTCGGTTTCAAATTTAAGCTCTGGACTCAAAGTCAGCACTTGACAACGATCCTCTGTCAGTAAACATTGGCAAAGAGATCATCAGAGCCCCCACTTCAGACAGACAATTTACTAACAATTGCTAAATTAAATGCCTGAAAGCGTGACAGTGCAAACAATTTGCCTCTTTCTTTGCCAGACAATTTGATCATAAGGTTTTTAGAATGATTCTAAGAATCACCTCAGGTAATTAAGAGTTTTGATCACTGTAATTACCGTGTTTCTTAAGCGTTTTGGTCAAAAGTTTAATTAGGTGATATTCTTGGATTATCCAATCCAATGGAATGCAATATGCAAATATTTACTTTATCTCTCTCTCCTTAAGATTATTTGGAAGCCCCTTCAAGTGGGGTATTGTAGCAAAACAGTAGAGTTTCCTGTACCTCACAAAACAATTAATATCTGCAGATGTTTAGATCTCCCTTTCCGTTTTGGACATCAGGTAATTCAGCTTTGGATGTCAGAAGTGCAACAATCACCTTCTGAGAAGAATGTGATCCTGCAGAGGCTGCCTCTTCCAGCATGGGAAGGGATTTACTACCCAGATATCCTGATTTATAACTGGAGAAGTATTTGAATGGGAAGGCTGAATTTTGTTTTTCCTTAAATGACACCAGGAGGGGTCAACAAGAATGATACAAATAAGACTTAATTAATGGTCTGAAGAAGGTGAGGTGAAGGAAGCACTTGTACAGTATCATCTGACTTCAACTCTAGAACAAAGTTTAATATCACAGAATGTAAAAAGAGTCAGTAATAAAAGAATATACATTAAATATTCCTCTTACTTCTGCTAATAGGAACATACATATAGGGTTTTCTCATTTACCAAAAGCCTTTGTAAATGACCTGATTCTACAGAGCTTCTTTTTTTTTTGTAGATATTGTAAACATTTAGAATTTCTAAGGCTAAAAACAGGCACAAGTCTTCCATGGACAGTTATTATTCCTAAAAGCATTAAGGAATATATTCCAAATCTGCTATTCCTTGTTATAACAATGATAATAATCGAAATATAACATTATAATTCACAATGCAAATCCTTAATTAAAAAAAAAAAAACAGCTTAATCCTGACAACAATTAATAATATATAGGGAACACTTCTTTTTTTTCCCTTTTTTAAATTATCTATTACATCAAAATCACATTTCCAGAACCTTTGTGCTGGGTATTACTCAATTTTATAAAGTGATGAGTTAAAGAAGGAACTAAAACAGCTCTAAGTGGGTAAAACTGAACCACATGTCAGCATCCTTAGCACCCCAGCTTCCCAAAAAAGCAGGAGAGATCTGCAGTTCCACTCTGCAGACTGGGGTTGGGGGCACCTTTGAGAAGACGTCAAACACTCCCCTCCACCATTTCCATGAGGTGATTCTTGTGTTGTGCCTCGTTAAGGTACCTGAGCCAACAGTCTGATTTCAGGCTGGTTTTTTTTTTTCAAGATTCCAGAGGTTCTTTAACCTCTGCAACAGGTTCCCTTCGCTGAGCAGCTCGGCCCAGCCTCCGGCAGAGCGATGCCGAGGAACGTTAGCAGCAATGCACGTCCAGAGACACGTCGCCAAAAAATTACCAAAAACCGTCACCCAGAAGTGCTCTTATCCCTCGCGCCGTCCCGGACAAAACAACTCACCACCAGGTGATCTTGAACTCATAGATGGGCCTCTTGCAGTAGTAGTGGTTGATGAGGTGTTTGTCACACACGCCGATGCACTGGTGGTCCACCGTGATGCCCCTGTCGGACAGGTCTGTGACGATGCAGTGCAGGAGGTCGTACACGTCAGCCACGGCCTCCCAGGGCCCGAAGGACACGTCCACCTCACAGTGGTGCTCAAACAGCTTGGTCTCGCTCTCACTCCGCTCGAAACGCAGGGAGTTGAAGTGGGGGCACTCGTAGGGGGTGATGGGCATCTCCTCTTTGAAGACACAGACCTTCAGTTTGGCAAACCTTGCTTTCCTCTGCATAGCTCTGAGCTTCGCTATTTCGATGATCCGCTCCAAGTGATCTTAAAAAAAAAAAAAAAAAAATCCACCCCAAAATCCAGAATTACAATGAAGTATCAAGTAAAAGGGATCAAATGCAATTATTTCACGTGAACATATTACTGCAGTGTTTAATGAGCTATTCTCAGCCTAACAGGAATCTGCATGGAGCAAAATACACGGCAATCAAATCCATCTCAGTTATCTGGTGAACTCGGTGTCCTTACAGTGTGCCCAAGTTTATTCAGCTGCAGGTCCTGACACGACAAAAGCAGAGAAACCCTCTCATTTCATAAGCCTTGCATGTTATGGCCTAGACCTTGCTCCTTTTAAAATAAAAATCCACATCCTTGTACCAAATCTGATGTGGAGACCTCAAAGACCCAAACAGCATGAAAAGCAGACAATAAACTTCCCAATTATAATGGAATTATCTTGGAAGCTGAAAGCAGACTGAAAGCACCACGTCCAACACTTGAATCACACCAGAAGAAACAGTCAACACCGCTTTGTTTATTTACCTTTGTAATATGGCATTAGGCCCAGGAAAGCTTGTCTAACTTTTTCTCCTTTCAGAGGCTGGATATCCTCTAGATTGTCTAGCAAGGGTCCTATGGAATAATACTGAGCTTCCTTGTAAACTGACCTCACTCGTTCTCTTGGTGGCAGGTCACCAGAGCGCAGAAAGTTAAGTATGTCTCTAAAAAACAAGGGCAAAAATATTATTAAGAACACATTTCTGCCAAAAACTGTCACAGGTGGTAAAGGAGAGAAAATGCTGCATATTCATTGTTTACTCTCTTGAGACAGAAATCCTTATGTTTAGACAGTAACTGAAACAAGTGATCCATATTCCCCACAGCTGGTTTTAAAACCATTTGCCAGGTTCAAGTTTCCAAGTCACCATTCCATGTTTTGCCTCTGTTAATGTCCAAACTCACTCAAAAAACCATAATCATATTTTATATAAAAAGTTCAATGTGCAGGAACCACTTCAAATAGAAGAGGATACAGTGTTCCACGGGAAAGAGATTGTTGTCACTGTGTTTCAAATTTAGGTCTGTGACAAAATAATACTTTCCGTTTTCCTAGAGAATTTTATGCATGGACATTTTATCCCACACAGACCCAGGATTCTATCTGAATGGATGGTTCATTTGCAAAGGAGGTTTCCCTACACAGGATCAGGGCCATATACAGAGTAAGAATTTTAAAAAGAAGAGAGAGAACATTTCCTTGCAGTTCTGAAACACTGATTTGTGGCAAGATTTTTTTAACAGGGAAAGAAATCCCTTTGTAAGTATTAACTAACAACACTATTATTGACCTTCCTTAAGAAGGAATCCTGAAGGTGAAGGGATATGGCACTACCAGCAAAAATAATTTTAAAAAAGAAATTCTTTGAGGCTTGGGCTTTTTTACCAGTTCTGTTATATCCTGTTTAAAGGCTGAAAATAACATACTTTCAACTGTGCATTCCTTTCATTCCCTCTTTATCCTAGATACTGTAATATCAATTAAAAACCAGTGCTGTTCCTATGTAAAGCAATACCAAACACATTCTTTTTTAAGACATCAAAACAACTTAATACCTTGAAAGGAGATACTCTGGAGGAGACAATGTACAAATACAACACATCGCTTGCTTTTCCTTTCCCCCTGCCTAAAACCTGAGAGCAACACAAATAGTTTTTTAATTGCCATATCCCACTGATATGTTTTGAGGGTGTGTGGATGCCAGCCAGTCCCATTTACCTACCACCCAAACGGGATTTAACCAGGAGGAGAAATTAATGTTAAAAACTGATTTTTCTTTCCAACTGACTTTCTCCAGGAGGAACTTTGGAAGCACTGGGGACGCTGCACATACCCGAAGTAGGTTCCATCTCTGTCGATGAAGTACCTGCCCTCAGCATCCGTGGGGATGTAGTGCCTGCCGCTGAACATGGCTGCCAGCATGGTGTCCTCGTACCGCCTCAGCGTGGACAGCCTCGTCGTGAAGTGCATCCCGCCCACGTTCAGGGGGACAACTTCTGGGAACTGCAAAAGCAACCACGGCGTGAGAAAGGAGCCCCCCGGGGCGTTTCGCAGGGTTGCAGCTTCCCAAACACAGCGAGCGGTCTTTGCCGCCCTGACAAACTCCTCTTCCCTGCCCTGCTGCCACAGAGCAGAGGGGGTGGAGGGTTAACAGCTTGGATACTTTGGCTTCTGGGTGGAACCAGCGAGTGGTTTAATTGCAGCTGGAATCTGAAACAGCAGATATCACTCAGCTTTAGTGCCAGATATTAAAGTATTAATGCCTCCTCTTGGCTCCCCACCCTTACACAGAGACAGACACACACGTAGAGGGGAAAAAAAAGGGAAGAAACCTCAGGCCAGCCTTGGGATTTGCACTCAGTTGCTACTCTGCTAATTTCTTTACAGTGCTAAACCATACACTAAAAATCCCCAGTGATTTTGTATTTACATCAGGCCTGAAATCTTAGTATTACACTCTAAGACGCCTGAAGTACCAGAATTAACACTTAATTATATTTCTCAACTCCAAACATGGATGGAACTTACAGCTAAAACCGCCAAGCCACTGAAATAAATTCAAGAGACTTAGTTTTATTCAAACATTTAGCTGCTAATGGAAAATGAACTGGGCATCCACAAATAGTCCAGCAAATAAATCCTGGATTGTTTGGCAGCTGAGCAGTGCGTGCTGCCATCACTGCACCTTGTCAGGTGAACAGCACCGGGGAGCTCTTACCTGCTGGGGCAGCAGAGGTAGAGCTTGTCCTGCCTGGGTTGCAGTAGGAGTGGCCGGCTCTTGGAAATCATCCTCTGCATCCGAGCTCGACATGGCATCATCCGGGTTTCCACTCACTTTGTTCTGCCCCGTAACTACCACCATCCCTCTGGCTCTCGGGAGCAGGTCTGCTGGGTAGGCAGCCGTGGCACTGCTGAACGGGAACACAAACCCCAGATCACCTCGGGCTGTCCCCGCCAGCCGCGGGTCGGTGGCGGGCGGGACGCGTTCGCTCCCCGCGTCAGCCCGAGGGTTCACAATGGCATCGCTGTCCTCGGGAAATGAATCACGGCACGGATGGCACTCACGCACCGGGGGCTCGGGCTGTGCGGGAATGCGCTTGGCGGAGCTGTCCCCAGGCCCTCCAGCCCCGGAGCCGCTGTCAGTGGCTGGGTAAGAGCCCGGCATCCATTGGCTGCACAGTGCAGGGAGCGATTGGCTCCGCCGCGCTTTTGCAGGAAAATGTCATTTGCTGGGTGGATTTGGGTGGCCGCTGTCCCAGCCTGTCCCTCGCCATGGGCGGGATGCAGGAACACGTCCTGCCATTGGCCCCGCGCCGGGCGACACCCGCGCTCCGTCTGTCACCTTCAGCCGCTCGCCGGGAGCAGGGACGGGCACCGGCAGGGCTGCGCTCAGCATTGCCCGGGAAATTTTCCAGTTCCAACCAGCCGGAGAAACCCGATGTCTCCGTGCCCACCGCATCACATCCCATCGCACATGAACGCGCCCATCTGACACACATTTAATTCTGCTTATTATCCTAATTATCCATTTCCTTTCCGGCACGGAGCAGCACCTACGAGGCTTTCATAGTCCACCTTCAGTCGCAGCACGGGAGGGACTAACCAGCTGCTCTGTAAAAATAACAACTGAAAGAGCAGAGCAGCAAAGAGGAGAAACCCCGCTGTTCCCTTTATGCTGCGTTATGTAAAATCCCTGTTTCCAGGATTGCTGTGGCATCTCCAGCAGCATCACAACGCCAGAACAAAGGCACAACCACTACCAGAGGCTTTAGCTCTAACCCTGCAAGCTCCTTCCCTCAAATCACTATGAAATATAAAAAGAGAAGGGTTATTTGCACGAGCACATCTGGTGCGTTTATTTGTTGACTAAACAAATGTTTCATAAAGGGTGCAGATATACAGCCTTCTTTCACCAAAATTTGCAGGTGAATTCTACACCCTGTTTAACACCCTAATAAACATGGATAAGTAGGTACCCTGCATTGTCAAACATTCTGTTTAAGCTGCAACTCCTTAAGAAGTTTGGCTCAGCTCAGGACAGGTATTTAACTTCTCTACAGTTTATAACCATTTTTCCACCACAGTCCAATGCACAGGCAGACAAATAAGGATTGAAGGGCTTCTCAATGTCCACACCCTATCAGCAATTTTAATATTTGTCCTGAAACAACATTTATTCTGATGATATCAATTATCAAAACAACTCAACTGTGCCTCACGGATAAAGAACATACACAACATAAATGAAATATTATTTTGGTAGGGCTCTTTTAAAGAAGTAAACAAATTATCACCCAGAAACAGCTTGCAGAAGCTTCATCTATAAGATGCACAGTCAAAACTGAGTGTGAGTCTGTGTTTACTGTGAATGTATTATTTATAATGCTGTCACTTGACACCAGTGCTTTGCCTGCTATTTCCAGTTCTCTTAAGACTATTCAAAAGAACTCAAGATTGACTAAAAATGTGTTCCTTAATTGTCTACATTTTTCGAGAATGTCCCATATATTTCACTTAAATGGATCATCCTGTGAATAAACAACATTCAGCTCCATTAAGTATATGGGACTCATCGACCACAGAATGTGTTTGGGGTAAGTTCATCCATTTGGCCCTGTACCAAAAAGGGCCCCTTTCCTACCAGAACTAGAGGTTGGAGAGAAAGGAATTCTTCCTCTTTCATAATCCTCCCTCAACATGACACCAAGGCTTGAGAAAAAAAGACCATGAGAGAACATATCTTAATTCTGTTACCCACAGGAGTAACAGTCCCCTCTGCCACTGGAACATTCACACAAACAATGCCCTCAACAGTGAGGTTTGGCAGAGGAGTTCTCAGCCCGGGATTTCAAGAGTAAGTTTAGTGGCAGTAAAACGAAGAGATTAATCACTGACAAGTTTGACCTGTTTTTTGACCTTCATTAAAAGGTGAGTGAAGTCCCTCTCTAGGTTTGCTTCACCCGTTCACCGCTGGGCACGGAGCAGTGGAACAGCGGAGTGGTGACAGGAACAGAGTCTTCCTGAAAGAGAAACAGAAGCTGATCACTGGCCAGTTCTCTGACTTGTGAAAAATAGAGGAACCGGTTTTATTCCAAGCAAATTAAAATAAACAGAGGGTACTAACAAAAGAACTATTTCTGTATATTTATTAACTTATAGGCGTACCATGGAGGCTGTAAGGTGAAGGGTCCTGTCTGGACCTACCACCAGGGAATCTTTCATGGCTGGGAACAGGGAACAAATTATAAAAATGTATTCCTCTGTGCCATGTGGATACACAGAGAGATCCCCCTCATGCCTTGCAACATGGGGATGATGCAGGACCCCCTGTACGAGCCCATGGGGAGATATGTTGCAACCAGCCAAAAGGTAACACCCACTTCCAAAGCAGAGAAATTACCTTTTAAGGCAACAAGTGGACAGTAAATGAATATTTACCAGCTGATATCGAAGGGTACAAAAAAGCGCAGTTTTCAAACAGCGGTGTGCTCTCTGTGTGATTCAGAGGTGCACCCAGCGCTAGAAATGGGTACCCAGCGCTGCAATAAAAATCTCTTGCTATATTTCTTTGTCCTGCAGGTATTTTTACCATCTTCAAAATTCAAGAGAAGAATTAACTTATAACATGACAGACACTGGGTTCTCTGCATTTCATGAAGAATATGCATCCATCTGTATCATAAAATCAAGAATGGTGTGGGTTGGAAGGGACCTTAAAGCTCACCCTGTTCCCACCCCCTGCCATGGGCAGGGACACCTTCCACTAGACCAGGTTGCTCCAAACCCTGTCCAACCTGGTCTTATCCTCTTCTTAGCACTTAAAGAATGTGCAATAATTATTTTTAACTATGCACAAAAATATCCCTTTTGTTAAAGCTCTCATTAAAGTCGCAGGGTCTGGTTTATTTATTTAAACTAAGTAAATGCATCTTTTTCACTTTCAAATATATCTGGGTCCAGATCAACAGTTAATGAGAAAACATCACAACTGAACAAAATTATAATTAAATATTTAACTGAACCAGCAGCATCCAACTCTACCAGAAATACCTCCTCCCAGTCCTTCCACCTGGCATTTAAGTGCAGAGATTGCTTCCCGGAGCTTTGTTATGGACAGCTCAGATACTGTCACACAAACACACACCAAAGACAGCTCAGTAAATGAACTGGCCCTGCCAGCCTGGCTTCATTCCCCAGGGAACGACAGCAATCCAAGAGCTGCATCGAGTTGGACTGCATAGTAAGAGGCAACACAACTTTTCAAGGCTCTGCTGTTCCCTCAGCTTTTCTGCATCAGTTTAAACAACTTTTCCTTAAATGCTTTGAGATTACATGAGTGTTGGCAAAGTTACACACCTTAAAAAGTTACATATCTACAAAAAATAAGTGACATAATGATTAGATGGTCAAAATCTTTTTCAGTAAGGTACTGATGTACAAATCCAGCCTAGGAGACCCACACAGACTTCTGTTCAGAGCTAACTCCTTGGGATGTGCTTGTTTTGAGGAAATGCCGACTGGATTTTAGGAAGGCTCCCCCTTTCTCAAGAGAAACTAGGTCCCTGTGAGGTCACAGAATGAGATGTAACTTAGCATAGCTATCTTCAAAAGACTCAGATGATCAAGGGTTTTGCGTGAATGCACTGGGATGAGACATGACATCCAGTAAATTCTCGTGAATCTGTGTCAGAACAGTGAAGGGGCCAGGATCCCTGAGCTGCAGTAAACGGTATTGTACACTGGACTGTAAAATCCTGGACATTCTCAGCATCTTTAGGCACGAGCAAAAGACAGCACAGGGTATGATGAAGGGATAGTGCAACTTAAGTGTTGCAGCAGAGAGCAGACACAGAGTGTATGGGGGTGTGTGATGGGACCCTCCATCACCAGTGACCTCCAGGGCAGGACCAGGAGAGCGGGGAGACCTGAGTGGCAGCTGCGAGCAACCAGTGGGTAAAGGACACTGGGGCTGTACTCGCAGGTGGCTGGCACTGACACCTCACACAGAATTCCACAGCTTTTGGAGCCTGGAGCCGCTCTCCAGTCTGAGAGCTGAGGGGAGCAGAGGCGTCACCCGCGGGCACCACCACAGCGTGTGGAGCGGACAGCACGGCCCCGGGTGTCTGGCAAATCAATCCGTAATTAATTAATAAATAATTAACGATTAGCCGTCACCTAGCCACTTGCTGGGGCCTCCTGCACGGTCCGAACGGAGTCCCCGAACGCGGGGCAGCGGTCCCCGCTCCGTCTCCCCTCCCGCTCCGCGGCACCGCCCGCCCCTCACCTGAGCGGCCCCTCCCGCGCTGCCGCCGGGGGTCGGGAGCGGAGCCCCCGCTCCGGGGTGGGGAGCAGCAGCCGCCGCATGAGCCGGGGGATGGACGGGGCAGCGGGGCCGCCTCTCCCCGCCCGCCCTCACCTGCCCCGGCCCCGCGTCACGTAGGGCCCATCCGGGTCCCGCGCGGGCGGGGCCGGGCCCGTCCCCACACGGGGGGCGGCGGGAGCGCCCACACCCCACACACCCCCCCCACCTCCCTCACGGCCCCGCCCGGGGCTGCGCTTCGCTCCTCGGCCCCGCGCCGCTCCCCGGGAAACGCCCCGCCGTTAATTAATTAGCCGCGATTAATTGCCGGCAGCACCGATGGCGGCTCCGCGGCCGCGCTGCCCCGGGCGGGCACTAGGGGAGGCCCCGGGATCGCTTTTGAGATCGAGCGGAGGGTGAAGGAGCGGGGAGAGCTGGAGCCAAGTGTGAAATTCGCGTCTTCGCTGAGGGCGCTTTAATATCCTTCACTGGGGTTCACGGTGGTTTTAGAGATACACGTTAATCAGCTCAGCTGGAGTAACAAAAAGAAGGAAGGAAATAAAACAAACAAACAAACAAACAAACCTGTTTCAGAGCCGAAGCAGCAGAAGTTGTGGAAACACAACCAGCTCCTTCACCCTCGGCTGAGCCCCCCTTCAGCATCGTGAACCACCGAGGCGAACAGAAACGGAGACAAAATGAGGCAAAAACTCCTCTCAAAATTACCTGACTCGAATAATCACCTTCCACGTTGCATCCTGAGGTTTTGATGCTTAGGATACAATTTCACAGCAGGGGTTCAGCAGCACAACTCCGGACACAATGGCTTTTGAGGAACAAAGTCAAGAGGCTAAAAATTACCTTCGTTCTCCTGCAGCAAACAAATCTGGTGTTACTTTCTTTATAACTCTCAGCGGGACACTCCAATTTACTTTTCCTCATCACCCAGCTATTAAAAGCAAACAAAAAGCATTAAATCACAAACCTTAAAGATTGGAGACCCAAACCCAGGACATGAGATCATATCTCCCCTCCACTAATACATCAATATCTTGAATTATTTAAATCTTAACTCCGAAGCAAAATCATTAATAAACAAAAATCACATTTAAAGCATTTATTTTGAAAAATAAAATACAAAAGATCATTGAATTGTAATTATACATGTAATTTATCAACTTTTTTTTTTTAAATAAAAGATATTTAACAATTTCCACATATGAATAAAACAGACAAACTGTTGCACCAGCAATCTTTTAGGACAAGCACAGACCACTCTTGAAAGCTTCATACATTTAAAACCAAACTGCTACAAGAAACAAACAAAAATCTTTGAAGATGGAGCTTTGTTATTAAGACAGAAGAGCAATTTCAGAGATTCATTGCTTTGCTTTTTTTTTTTTTTAAACCTTAAAAAAATAGTTGTGCGAATGTAATGCAGTTGTACGTCAACATCAGTGTTTTTATTTTCTTTAACAGGCTTTACATGCACTCACAACAGCAAAATTCTGAACAAAAACAGTATGAAAGAAATGGGAGGAAATTGTGAAGGAAGCAGGCCATGAGCAGCACCTCCCTGATCCCGGGGGGACAGGCCCTATGGATCATTCCCATGGAAAAGGCAGCAGTCGATTTCCTTAAGAAAAAGAAAAATAAAGTTACGTTTGAGCTTTCCATGTAATATTGGGCTCTATCCTCGACAATGTTTTGGAATTACTAATAATGCAGAATTAATTAACTAATTGCTCTTTTCAGCAGGTGGAAAGTCACTGTCAAAACAAGCACAGCCACTAAAACATTCCTATAAGGAACGTGGCTGCTTTGTCCATCTCCATATTGGAGAATATTTAGATGCAAAAAATATATTGATTTTTCACTCCCATTCCAAGGATTTGTGGCAGTGGGCTGCACTGACATCCTGCAAGTGCCTTTCACTACAATGTACCAGGGGAAGTTACTGCTGGGAACTTCACAATTTGCTTTCTCAGAAACTGGCCAGCAGCTTTAGACAGAAATATTGCAGTTTTAAATATATTTTTCAGAGCTCAGTGGCAAAATGGAGTTGATGTTTTAGTCATTTTAACATTGACTACGTGAAAAGATTACGGTTTCTCTATCCATTTCAGACTGAAAGCCTGCAATTAATCTTTGGAAACCTTTTATATCCATTATTTCTAAGTGGTGCAATGCTCTCAGCTATATTTAGGGCACTACATTTATGGCCAAGTAAGGATCTATTTTGGGTATATTGGTGGGGCATGTTGCTTTTGGCTATATTTAAACTGGAAGCATTTTGTCATCTTTTGTTGCAAAGCCAGAACATCTGATAACACAGTTGACAAGTAAAAATCCTGGATTAATACAGTAATTCTTCCACCATTCATTCCTTAACTAGTCTGGAATTTACTGCACAATCTTGCCATTGTTTATTCAATTACTAAAATGCAGTTTATCAAAAATACTGGCTATGGGACACATTAAAAACAAATTATACAGATCAGCTTATCACAAATGGGCAATTACTTTAAAAACAAAATGACACAGGTGATGAAGAGTCATCCTTAAAGTTTCCTTGGTTTTCTATTAATAAAAGTATAGTTTTATGTACTCCTTCCATAGAGTTGTCAATCCAATAACATAGCAAATATTGAAATTATGATGAGCCATGTAGGACTGCACTTCCCTCAAAGTGATTTTTACAGATTCGGAATTAAGGTCTGTACTTCATGTTTTTCTTACCCAGAATCTTACCCAGAGTCACATAAGTTAGAAAAAATTCAGTTAAACTAAATTAAGAGCAACAAACAAGCAGGACTGCAATGATCTTTTATTACCTTCTGTGCAAGAAATGTCCATTTTATCTTCTATTCCATAGGTTCAGTCTGTCAAATAAATAACTAAAATTAGCAATTTTACATTAGAGGGAAAAAAATATCACTATGAGCACTTTTGTTTGTACTCCAAACCATTGAGCTGTTTAGTTACATTATGTTAATTTAATCTTTACTATAACACTAAAAGACAACTCTATCAACTTCAACTCCAGTGTCAGTTTTTATGGTTTAAGAAATATTCTTTTAGTATTTCACAAAGCTTATTTTTGCCTTTCAGATGATCTTTCTTTTAGTCTGGATAAATCTGCTCAGAGTCTGGTAAATACTGCAATGTCCCAAGCTAACTGTATAAATCCACCTGCTGGAATTTAGCAGAGTCCCATTTGGAAACCTCCCTGTCACACGGAGTGAAAGGACATTTACTAATTAGAGAGGCCCACGTTCTTTTGAAGTATCACAAGATAACTGGAAAACAAAAATAGTAAAATTTAAAGAGTGGACACTGAATGAAGATCCAGGATTTAAAGGATTTAATCAAGGATTCATTCAAATATCAAGGATTTATTTTGCCAGCACACACAGAGTGTGCTGGGTTTTGAAGATAATTCATATCCCTGCCTTTTCCATAAATCCTTATCAGCAATATTTAATCAGGCACGGCACACCCTGTGCCCGCAGCCAGATAATGCCGCGGCTTTATCTGAAAGGTTGCAGATAATCTTGGAAATCACCACAGTAATGGCACGAGAAAGCATCAGAACTCTCCCCAGCGCGCTCTCTCAGCATGGTTTGCTGACAGCACCGTGAAGCAGCACATTAAGAATATTTAAAGAGCATTTTGGCCGCTAAGCTGCAGACACTGGGGCCAGCAGTGGAGAGGGGACAGCGCTGTGACACAGCCCAGGCAGCTGCGTGGGGCCAGCCCTGGAACGGCTCTGCAGGAGCTGAGCACCACTTGCAAAGCAGGAGCACTGACTGATCGACCCGAGGGGGAGAGCAGGCAGACACCCAGTCAAAAGCCAAGCCCACAAGTTAGAGATCACACAAAGACTGATCGGAAAGATTCGGTGCCCACAGCAGGGTTATGTTCTGAAAACGTGAAACACACACTACAGCTATTTGACTTCACTGATCCACGTTCATTTTATCTTGCCACGAGACTTCCTTTCTACTGTCTTCTTTGGCTGGAACAAAAGAGACCGATTTTCCTTTTTAATCAATTCATTTTCGCTTGAACCAAAGGTAAAAAGTCAAAATGCTTGGTTTGTATATGGTAGTTTCTCCTGTGTGTTCTCAACCTGTGTGCCTCCCACACGGAGCAGCTGGGGCTGCCCCATCCCTGGAATTGTTCCAGGCTGGAGGGGGCTTGGAGCAACCTGGTCTAGTGGAAGGTGTCCCTGCCCATGGAAGGGATGAGTTTTACGGTCCCTTCCAACCCAAACCAGCCTGTGATTCTGTGATTCCATGACATTCCTGGGGTTGGGGAAGGTGCCACAAGATGCTGCAGTTTGAGAGCTCCATGACAAGGATTTTGCTTTTTCAACTGCCATGGCACAGGTCAGGCCCCTTAGGGAGCTGATGACAATTAACAGCATTTGAAGGTACCAAATTAAGGATTTTCTGTACAATCTGAAATTCAACAGCTCATTTGATTATTAAACCAACACACCATCCCTACCCATGGCTGAACTGGTTTTGTTTGTGTCTGATAACATTACTATTTCTTTTTAAAGTCTCTCAGTACTTATAACTCTGCTCTCTCTGTATTATAATTGCTTTAAACCTTTCCATGCAAGGTAACAAAAAATAAAAGCTCCTCTGCAAATGACACACTTTGCAGTTTGGTCTACAAAAGACACTCCAACTTTCCTCGAGTTTCACAGCAATATTCAGGCAGCTCAGGTTGACAAGTATCACACTGGAGTTACACAGGGACTCGAGAGAGGCTTGGAACTGGAGATTCCACCTCATGGACAAGCTGCTGTCATCACTCAGAAAATCAGGTTCATGAAGAAGTGGTTTATAAAGACTGTTTGCACACCCATTTGCTGCTACAAATGAGGAAATCAATTCAGTACTGTACCTGTGGCACTTCTTTAAGGAAGTCAGGAAGCTGAAATTCACCTTTATAGACCTGGAAAAACAAACAAAAAAAATACTGCTCAAAGTCCTCATTCACTACTGTTTGAAATGTTAAAGAGCTTGTTAAGGGAATGGGAAAAAGAAAAGGAAAAAAGATTCCTTTGTGTTATTAACATCCAGTAAAGCTAGAATAGATCTACCTAAACAGAACAATGTCTTTGTAAAAGCAAGTTTTATTCACAAGGCTTGGTTCTCCAAAGTGGTTCCACAGCTGCTCCCTCAGTTCCAGGCTTGCTCTGTACTCAACACTCTGACCTTGTTTGCATTAAAATGGTAAAAATTACTAAAAACACTAGGAGTGACTTGCTACAACACATGCTGCAGCCTCATTACCAGCCTGATTGCATGGGAATTATCAAGATTTCCAGTCTTTCAGAGCATAATATTAATTCTGAAACAACACTGTTTGGAGAAAGAGCAAGTAATAAAAACTCCCCAACACACCAACAACCACAGCAAACAAGTGTTTCCACTATCTGACCAACTGGGAAATAAATTGGCAAAGTATTGTCTACTCTCCAGAGGATCATCCTTAAATGCTCTTTGCTTCTGAGATTAAATATTCCAAAGGGGGGAAAAAAGTACTCTGGTTTTGTTTGGGTTTTTTTTTGTTTGGGTTCCCCACCCCCCCAAAAAAAAGTACATTTGAAGAGTTTTACCATTCTTTCTACTGAACCATAAAGAGCGATCATCCCAATGTCATAAATTCTTGTGTAATCATTTAAAAATAAAATTAAAACAAGGCACAAACCTACGAAGGAAAATTCTGTAAAAATGGAAAGGAGGCCTCGCTCAGAGCTGCACTCCCTGCCTTGCGTCAGAGGAAGACGACTCAGGAAGTCAGGGGATGCTTATGAACAAAATCCATTTTCTCTGCTTCCCTAGGAATGGGTGAGCAGCATCCAAAGCCCTCCTGGTTTTGTCAATGTGCTGCAGTGCCCTGGGACTGAGCTGACTCAGCTCGGAATTTCCTGCCCAGCAGACGCCTCAGCCCTAAAAGCATCAGCCCCTGTGACTCACATGGGGTGGACTCAGGACTGGCAGCTCGGGGCTAAACAGACCCAAACAAGGCTTCACTAAGTCCCAGCACACATTGTGGAACTCTCTTCCTTCCAGTATTCCGTGTTTTAGTTAAAATAGAAAACCAAAAGGCACGGCTCTCATTTGTATTCAGCCAGGGGCTACTACTGTGATTCCCATGGAAACCTTAATGAAAGTCACCCCGGTCAGAAATGCAGCATGTGGCTCCTGGAGCCTCCTTACACCATAAATATTTATAAATGAAGGAGAGGATTTCACATTTGCAGCATTTAACCAAGCCATTAAAATGCAGGCTGTGTCCCAGAGAGCAGGATTGGAAGTTACAAATGAACAATATTATCACATCAAAAAATGTTACAGAATAACAGGCAGGATTCTTCACCTTTACTGGCAAAGCACTGCAGTCATCAGCTGGGAATTCTCAAAAACAGTTAACGCTGATGATGGCACCTTGTGACTGATTCACAACCACAGTGGCCAAAGCCCTGTCTGTCTCTCTAGAAGCCTCTTCTTTTTCTCTTCTCATGCAATTATGACTCAGTTTAATTTTTACCTTATAACTATTTATCTACCTACCTACGTCTGCCCAAAAAACTTTACCACAGTAATGCCCTTTGTAGGAACAGCATTTCCTCCTAACAGGCATCCAAGAGCGGATAGCCAAGGGCACTCATCCATCCATGAGAAAAATAATGTCACAGCCTGGAAAGAAAATGTTTTGAGGGCATTTGGTATTATATTCACATTATATTCAAATATCACCGCTTCTACACCACAATTTACAAAGGCAAATGGAACCAGTGGCAGGCCCAAGATGAGGTTTAACACACAGACGTGCCTCATTTCAGCTCAGGACTGACATTACCTAGAAAGCTGGTTTTGTCAGGACTGAGACTGCCCAGACACTGGTTTAAAGGAGTTCCAAAAACAGTGAGTGGTCCCTTTGGAATCAAAAGCCAGGGATCAATGGCAATCCAGAAATTCGAAAAACAATGACTCCATCTGCAGCCAAAGAAATTAAAGAGGCTTCAGATTCAAAATTCTTTCCTGACCAATTTATAAGCCTAAAACACATTACTCAGAGTGGCATTAGAGAGACAGAAGCAGGACATTGGAATGATTTCCAGTCTGAGCAAGAATTCAGTAAAATTGAGAAGAAAGGGTGTTTGCCATTTCTAAGAGAATTATTTTGTAAGTCCAAATGGAATTCCAAAGGAGGGGGATTTCAAGTCTGTGTCAGTTTGATGTTCAGTGTTGGCAGTATTCAAGCTGTTCTATTAAAAAAAAAAAAAAAACAAAACCACAACAACCCAAAACACATTCTTATAGCCAAACTAAATGCACAGTATTGTCAAAAAGATCAGAAAACAAGTTTCACATCCAGTTGTCTGAAAAAAACCCTTTTAAATACACAGAGAGAACTTAAGAACACAAATATAACACAGAAGTGTAACTCATCTTTATAGAAGATTAAAGCCCACCTTTTCACCCACTTTCCTGCCTGGTTTGGAAAGAACCACATTATATTTGTCCAGTTCCAGTCACAGAGATAATGGATCTTTTTGTGTAAAAAAAAAAAAAATCACCTCAAAAACTTCAAAAACAAAAGTTGCAGAGGACAAGTTTATTGCCAGAAAAAGAAAGAAGATGGACAAAACCAGACCAGAGCCCTTTCCTACAACCAACCCTCTGCTGCACAGCACAACCTCAATCTGCTCTTTCAGCCTCTCCTTAACTTCCAAGGCAGCTCACAAGGTTTACACAATTCTTCACCTCTCTGCTGGAACTGCCAAGGAAGGGACATCTGAGATGTAAATGTTTACCCAGAGAGCAGGATTTCAGGCATGAATATCTGCCAAAAGGCAGCTTGCAACCAATACCTCATTTTCTGCTTTGGTTGCTGATAACTCTTCATGCATTACTAATCATATATATGCATACTTGAGGGGTTTGGTTTGATGTTTTTTTTTTTTTTTTGTAAAAATGAGATGATATCAGCACCTCTGGAAAAAAAAACTATGCAGTTGGAAATCCACATGCAGGAAGAAACACCCATTAAAGAGGGTATTAAACAAATTTACAGGTCACTGAGAAAGTCTGTGCTGTTGGTGGTCACAAGTGAGATGAAATAACCCCAATTTTTGTTTCAGATATCAGAGAAGATGCCCAACAAGCCAAATGCCTTTATGATTAGGTTAATCGGTGTAAATGGAGACACAGCCCAGCATTACAGCCACCCCCACCACGGCACATCTTTGGCAGCAAAATTATTCCCATGCACAAATATAAATACACAAATATCCTAGATTGTTTCTGTCTTCAGAAATCTCCAAGTCTTGAAATCACAGCTGTCATGGACGTTTCTTAACAGGAGATGTTTCCTCACAATTTAAACCAGGCACGAAAAACTGGAGTTTGGAAAAAAACTCATCTCCCCACCCTGCCCCCCCCCCCAAGATGTTACTGCAGAAAATGCCATCAACTGAACACAAACCAGAGGTAGATAACAGCTTTTGGATGTGATTAGAAGAACCATGTGTATTTTAACAGCCCTGATGAAAGGCACAGCTTTTCCTACAGAGTTCCATCCACTTCCACCTCCCGATCTCTCCAGGGCAAGGAACACAACTCCACGAAGAAGTTAAAAGAACTTTACTGGAGTGTGTATTCCAAGCATACAAATTCATTTAGTGGGAAGGACGTGCCAAAGAAAATCTGATGTAATGTGTTACAGATGTGGGAGGAAACCACCCTGCCAACCATAACACAACAATACTCCGGTCTCCGCTGGGCACGAGGCAGAGCCCTGCAGGCCTGAGCTGCTCCCCACTTTTGGGGTGTTCTGTGAGCCTGCTGACACACACACTGACTCCCACCAGTGATAAGAACACTGTTCTAATGAGGAGTGACTCTGCTTTGGTACTTCACCACACAGTGACTGGGTAATCAGCTCACACTGCTTAATTATTTGCATTTTCTGCATTGCTTGCAGATGAAAACTCCACTTACTTAAGGTTGTTATTTTCCTTTAGGTTCAGGATGCAGAATTTGTTCAAACTCTAGGAGGGTTAAAAAACAAGTAGTCAGCTGTGTATCTATAAGGAAGGAGACCTTGCAGTCCTTACAAAATGAACAGATCAGTAACAGACTTACAAGAAAACCACAGAAGAGGTCACATGCAAGAGATCTGCTGAACAGCACAACCCTGTCCAGACCTTGTTTCTCTCTGCTCTGCATTCCTTAACTGAGACAAGATAAGCTGTCATAAAAGATAATATTGTCAGGCTTAACAGAAAACAGATAAACAGAAAGTTAATGGCTTTGTTATTGAAAACATCAGGAAAACCTGCAGTACTCTGACAGCTCTGCACTCCCCCGTGCAGGTACTGTCAGAAATGTCTGATTCCTCAACACCCCAGAGCACCAGGAGACCTGCACAAGAAGAGGTGAAGTTGCCTTCCTGCTCTGTTAGTTCCTAAAGAAAAAGCAGAGCTAAGATGACAAAGCACAAACACTGCTTGTATCTTATTATTTCTGTGCACACAAAACCAGCCTCGGCGTTTCGGTGTCCTGCACAGCTCAAGTGCAAAATCCAAACTTAGCAGAGAGCATTGCTTTGCTTGCATTACCCACAAGCAGATAGAATTTCTAATTTAAGCACTGTATTTCAGCTGGAGAGAACCATCACTTTGTCATCAGACTGAAGAGAAAGAAATATTTAAAGTTGTACGTGTGCAAGTCACCAGCAGGGGACAGAAAAGGAGAGAAGAGGAAAAACACTGCTCAGAAAGCTTAGGGGAAACCAAGATTTTACACCACACTGGCCACTTCTTTCCATTTTTCTTCAGTACCAGCCCTCCCTTTAGGCACTTTTACACACTTGGTTCTTACCTTCTGGACTAACAGCAGCAGCTTTGGAATTGTTGAACACCATTTTCACTGCTAAGTCCAATTTGCAGTCTTTTGCAAGCAGTGACAGATTTTGCCCAGTGCAGTATGAACACAGCTCTGCAGCTGCATTTAATCACGGTTTAGAACAAGGACATCTTGCAGTTGAAAGTCTGGAACATTTTTAAATTATCTTCTACAACAGGACTTATCATGAAACACTGACCTGTTGACATCCCAAAGAGGCTTTTTAGCTACGAGTATGTTTTGCATACTAAGCAATTTTTTTTTAAATTTACACTCCACTTATCTTTATGCAGTGAACCAGATGACACAGAGTTGTTCCATCTTTAGGTGGAGCCAGGATCTGCCCTGCCAATAATTTCAGTGCTGTTGGGCTTCCACCCTCCTGTTGCAACTTCCATAATAAATTTAAGCCTTACATAACCCCCTCAAAAGGGATAAACTCCCCTCAAAAAAAAAAAAAAGTTAAAATAAAATAATCAGTTATTCCCCCTTATTATTGCTTTGTGTTTGCCAGGCAGGGACAATTTTTTTTTTTCAATTGAAGTGCTGCTCGTGCCATTTTAACTGGACTAAGAAACTGGTATGGGAGTAGCAAGTGTCAGATAATCCAACATGATTTCAAATTAGTCACTCTCAGGGGTTACTCCACCAACACAATACAGGTCAGCTTTAGAAGTCCAACCTTGAATTGTATTCATTGAAAACAGATAAAGTTCTGTGTTCAGTTTAAAGTCTTGGAAACCACAAACACAAATGTGATAGAACTGCTTCCAAACACGAGTGCAGGAATAAATGGTTACAAGCAAGATGATTTTACTCTTCCTATGCACTGAACAGCAACTCTGGAAGGACTTTACTTGGACAGCTTCACCTCCAGCAACACACCCAGTGCAAAACGCTGTGAAAAACCATCCCAGGTGAAGAAATTCAAAGAAAGCAAGAATGAAAGTAGTGCTTGAAAGTAGTGCTTTAAAAATTCACAGTAACACACTTAACGTGCCAAGTGCCACTTCCAAAAGGCTGGAAAAATCTAAATATATTTACTTGTCTATTTAAATACATGCTCCCTCCTCCAAGCTGCAGCAGCAAGGGATGAATTAATGTAATTAGTGGAAGAGAAATGTAACTCATGGAAGAGTTCATGCAAGTGCAAACCCAAATGCTCATCTGAGCCACGGCTCAAACAGCTCCTTGGGGGACACGACATTCTGAGAGCCTCACGATGCCCCTTCTCAAAATATTCCCTTCAATATTCCCTTTCAAAAGGAACATGCTAAGTTTGGGAGTTTAACCATCTTTAATCCTTTTGGTTGTTTTGGATTTTAGCCTTAGTTCAGGACATCTCCCTCGTTTTTGTCTGTCAAACCATGTGTGCAAATGGAATTTTGTTATAAAGAGCAAGCGACTGGGAAAATATATTCTGGGTACTACAGCAAGCAACAAAATTAAAATCCTATCTTGGGCTGTAAGTAAATCTATTTAATTAAAATAGCAGTCAAAATATTAACAAGTGTCCCATATGTTTGCAATATTCAGATCAGCTATTATAGCTCTAACCTTCAGTTTTTAACAGCTGTTCTCACATTAGTAAAAAAAAACCAAATTATCCTTCAAAGCAAACTTGCAAAAAGCCTCAAAACAATCCAGCCTTTGAAATTAGGCTTTAATTTCTTTAAAAGCTTTGTTTATTACCTGATTTTCTTTCTTGGATTTTGAACTGAAATAGATTTCAAGAAGCAGCTGAAATCCAGACAACTTTTACAACTTGGACTGAGCTTGCCACACACAGGTAGAGGCCTCAAAAAGGTCCCCATGCTGTAAAAACTTAAATAGATTTTATCAGTAAGCTTGAATTACTGCATTACAATACAAATTCGGATTTTTAAAGGGGTTGAATTAAGTGCAGAAAAGTCAGTTTGTGAGCCTTTTAAACAGTAAGCACAAGGAAAGCTCTAAATGCCAACCACTACCCCACCACAGTTTTTCAGTATCATAAGGCTGGTGGAAGACAAGTCCTTTTAAATTGTTTAATTCCATTTTTCCACTGATTACTTCTCTGCAGCAGCAAAAGTCACCTTCTTTTAATAAAGTAAATGTGCTCAAAAGAACAGAAGCAGAGTAAATAATTTTATTTCAAACAATGGTAATGAACTTTTCAGTGGCTACCTCCAGGGATAAACAGCTCTATAGCCTAACTACTCAAATTCCAACAACATTAAATTCAGACTAAAATGCTTAAGTTTAGGTTAATCAGCACCAGACCTTCCTCCATCTCTGGTTTGTTCTACAAAGGACAGCAAAGGATTGGAAAAAAATCAGACATTTTGATCATCTCGGGCCATTTTCCATGGGTCATTTTTCCAACCCTACCAAGTATTTGGGGTGTAATTTTGTGAGAGAGCTTCTGCCAACACTCATGTGTAAAAAGCTGAGCTCAATCAAGTCTGACATCCAGACAAGAAAGCTTTTTTGTACCACCAACTAGTTCCCCAGCTGTCTGGACAGTTCTCAAGAGGTCCAACCCCACACACCAAAGAGCAGAGTTCAAGCCTGTGGTTGGGATAAAGGAGGAGGAATCAAACTGGACAAGCAGCAGGAGCCAGACTTTCAGTGCTCAAGGTCCCAAAGAATCCTTTTCTCCTCCAGGGCGAGGAAAACATTGCTGAGTATCAAAAGGTATTAGAGACAGACTCAAAAAACCCCAAACAAAACACAAGACTTCTGCTCTCCAGCTCACAGCCAGTCAGGCAACAGTTAAACACCCAGAATCCTTACCCTCCTCGTGTTTTCCACAACCTTCTGATCTGGCTTTCCATAGTTTGGTGGGTTGGCATATGGATCATAGCCCAGCTTGGCCAGCATGGGGGCAATCACAGGCATGTCTTGCAGAACATCAGCAGGGATCTTCCCCACCCACTTGGACAGTGCTTCCACATTGACCGGCTTGATCACTTGGTCAGTAGATCTTTCAACCCTGTGGAGGGAGAAAAGCAGTTTATAATCTGCATTCCAACCCACACTTGCTGGTTCACCATCATGAAGAACATCAGCTTGTTTTGTCTAGGCTTTTTTTTTTTTTTCTTTTCCCCTTCCTCTTCTTTCTCTCTCAAGATTTCATGTTTCTACAGAGCTGATGGGAAGTGAAGTTTTAATCACAACACTTGCCCCCTGGTTAAGGTTTTCACACAGAACATGCTGAAGCAAGTTCTTTATGTAAAGGCAGCAGTGAAACCCAAAGAGCTGTTGAGTGAAAAGTAAGCACACACCTCCACATAAAGCTGTTTTCCCACTGGCATGTTCCCACATTTGCTGGTTAATTGTCTCAGATGCTCTTAAAAGCTGTATTCTAAATTAAAATACATGTGCCATTTCTTCCCATGCCCATCCTGTGACTTATCTTTCTTTTTTTTTTCCCCTTTGTTTAATAAAAGAGAGAGCTGAGCCTTGACAGAAAGCTGTGGGCCACAGCAATATTTTTCATAACCATTCCTTTAACTGATTGTTTGGTCATTACACAGTTCTTAAAGGCAAGTGCACAATCACAGCAGTGTCACACAAAATAGCTGTCATTTAATCAGCAGTCCTAATGCAATTTTCATTCTTGCTCCAGTTTTGTTGTGCTTTTTTTTTTTTTCAAGGGAAGAAAGCTGGCACTGCTTTGTTCTCACACGTTACTTGCTTCTTTCAGATTAGAAGACACACAACTTCTTTACTGTGTTTATTTCTGGAACAGGCCAGCAGGACTCAGAATAATTGAAAACTCTGAGTTATTATTCTGAATAATTTAAAGGTTGTTTGTTTTTTTTCCAGAACTCAGAGTGCACATGTAGTGTGGACATCATCTGTATATAAAAGTTGCTTAAATGAATATTTGTACCTTCACTGCAATTAATACCAGTAGTTGCTGCTGGTTGGCTGCATCTGCCTCACACCTGAGCACACCCATCCACCTGGGGCTACTGCCCTCCTTTACATCACAAAGAATTTTGAGCTCAAAAAGCTCTACCACTCAGAAAATGGAATTTTTATACCTGGAAGTAACAGTACAAAGTGTAACACCAGCACCTCATCCACACAGGATAAAGAATGAGAACACTGAAGTTCAAATTCATTCTCAAGCAGCTAATTCTTCAGATATTCAGGAGGCAAAAGGTGAGAAAATATCTGAGAAAAATGGACAGCAAAACAAGGAAACACACCAAGTCTTGGTAAGTTTGATTAGATGTGTCTATGGCAAAGGGTGGTCAGTGATTCCAGGCTCCACTGAAAGCCCCAGGAACAGTTCCAGCCCTGGAAGCAGCTGGCAGGACAGAACACAGGACTAACCCCAAATAATTCTGCATCTGCACCAGCATCAAATGAAAGGTATGTATCAAATATAGTATATTGTGAAGTAATTTTGCCTGGACAGCTATTTCCATTACAAGCCCAATAAAAATTGCTGTAAAAGGGTTGACATTTCTCTGCCTCAGTGGTCAGCACAGCTGCTTTCAGTTAGGAGGCAAATGCCAGAGCTCTATTAACAATACTAGTTATAGCTTGTAGTGCAGCCATCACACATTCCTTCACCAGCCACGCTGGCAATTACTTCAAACCACAGAAGGTTTCACACCACTGCAATGCTGGGCTGCTCATCTCTAGAACCCTTGCAGTGCTTCTCCTTGCAGCTGGATAAGAGTCAAAATAAGGGCAAGAATCCCAAGTACAACAGAACAACAGTGAGGGAAGGGCTGCATCAGCAATAGGGAAAAGCAGGGACTACTAAACACATGCAGAAGAGGAGAGGGAGGCAGCCAAAAGTTTCCTCAAATCAAGCAGCCAGGGGAACAAATGAAGTCAGAGTCTTAAATCCAGGCTGTTTGCTATCTCCTATTTCTATTAACAGGCTAAAGCATAAGAGTTTCTGAGACTGAAAGAAGAGGAAAGTGGAGTCAGCTGACTGCTGGAAGAATTCTGCAATCCAGGGGCTGGCTCATCTCTGCAAAAGGAACAACCTGCATGCACAGTTTAGTTCTATATACAGCTGAATGGAAAACATCTTGCAGCCTGCAGCCTCATTCCATCTGACACAGATTTCACTTGACAAGCATTAATTTTGATTTCTAATGAGTGAAAAATGTATTCTCAAACACTGACTTTCTGTTAGCAGGTAACGGCACCATCATAAAGATGGTGTTTTTAAATATTTCAAGACCAAAAACTCTTGACGGATTTCATTTCAAAAAAACCTCCAACAATTAAAACACCTCCAGGCATCTCATGCTGGATCTGCACCGTGTCTCTGAAGTGGATGCTGAGCCTGCCTGAAAGACCTGTAAGTCTTAAAGGTGAGTGAAGGATGATTTAAGGCAAATGCCTCTGCTTGTTTTCTTAAGTCTTTACACAGTATCACCCCCTTTGCAGATTATAATAGTAGTTCAGCCTCTGATTTCAGACGTTTACTGCCCTATCTAATATTTGCTGACAACCAGGGAACTAATTTTATCAAGATTTTCATATTGTTCCCCACTACGTTTCAGAGGCCAGGCCTATGTGGTGACATCTTTTAAATGAACATCCCATTTCAACAGAGGGGATTTGGTATCTGTGATCTCCTGTCAGTAAAAACTGCAATATTATTTGAGTGTTCTGATTTTAATATCCTAGTATTAAACAGCCTGAAGCACTTTGGTGTGAGGCACATGGTAAAATAAAGCTCTGTGAGAAGACTGAGTTGCAGGAGATGGCAGCACTTGGAATCTCCTTCATTATCTCTGATCTCCAGCACTGCCCCTTTGGAAAGAGAGGTGGGAGAAAGCTACTCATTGGAATCTGGAGCTCCACTGCTCCAGATTGTGTTGTTCAGCTGAAAGGAGTCAGTGTTGGTCAGAATTTGATCCAGAAAGTAACAGTCACACACACCTGAGGCCAATAAGGGCTTGGCTGCAGCTGAGAACAAACCAAAGGCAACTGGAGAGAAGGAAAACTACCACAAGGTGTATTTTGTTCAGCTGTCAAAATGTGATAAGCTGGGGCAGACTCTCAGGCTCTCAGTAAACTACTCACCAAGCATCTCTTCCAAGAGTAATTCTCCTGGGCACTCACCCCCTGCTCTGGGCAAGGACCCCCCTTGGGGCTGGGGATGCCAAACCCAGCAGGTTTTAACTGGGACAAGAACACCAAACTGGGCAATCTCAGGCTCCCCCTGCACAGTTTCAACTGGTATCATATAAATACACAACACAGGCTTTCACACTCGCTGGTTCCTCTGCAGCCCTCAAAAGACTGAATCACTGAAATCATTATCAAATCATAAAGGTCTCCTGCAACTGGAAAACAAATCTCACCACCTACTGCAAGGGTGTTGGATTAGATAAAACCCATCCCAGACACAACACTAATAACTCATTCTTTTCCCACTACTGCCAGAGCCTTCTGAAATAAGAAATTACTGTCATATATCATCTCATGAGAGATAATAAAAGCATAAAGAATTCTGTGAACAGACTCAATTGAGGGTCACAAGAACACATTCGTACTCATTTGTCTTAAGCTGGGAAGTATTACTAAAAAAAAATAACCATAAAGCCACATTTTACTTTGAACAACCAATTTTCTTAATATTTAGAAACAGGAATAAGTATTTCCCACTCCTCACATCCCATTCTACCAGATTTAGCAGGAAATAGTACTTGAGACTGTATGAATTCACCAAGGTTACTGAGTTTTATAGTATAAAGGTCCATTAATTTTTAAAAACACTAATCTGGAAGCTGTAAGGGAGTAATAATTTACTAGAGATGGCATTATGCACAGTTATTTTTTACAGGACACTTAACAGAACTTGGCAACCACCCATTTACATCAGTAAAAGTAACATTATTCCCCTCTCAGCTGCCACTGTGAAGAAGCAACAAAAGACAGGTAACTACAGAGAATTCCCAAGCAGATCATCTTCCAGGGAGGAACAACCGTGCAGTGCTTCAGGTTAACATTTCCAGAAGCCTCCAATCTGCTACCAAACAACACTGCCAAAAAAAAAAGGGGTGAGATCCCTTCCTGATAGATCTGGGAATGTGAAACCTCCAGATTGTGAGTATATAACTATTACCTGAGTTCTGAGTTCTCATTGTAACCACTGACTAACAATTCTATGATTTAAATCATAGGCCCTTACAACATATTAGAAAATCCCAGTCACATTCCTAGGCATGAAATAAATAAATAAATAAATAAGATCTCACTATTTTTATTTCATAAAACTGCAGTCTAGAAAAAAATACATCCACTCTGGAACAGTCTGCCACATCTCTGCCCAGCACACCCTGCTTGCTGTGCAAGGTGCCTCTCACTCAGAAGCACTTGGCCAGTGAGGAATACTCAAAATACACAAGCCAAGTAATTTAACTGGACAGGTCTTGCTGCTGGAATAGGGCTTTTTAATCAGTGTTTTAGAAACTTTAGAAACAACCTGGTAGACGCATCTGCCACAGCAAAAACATTGACACTTTCCCCTCTCAATGTAAAGATGAGCCAGCTTCTGTATTTCAGTTGTTCAGCTGCAAACAGTGGCAAAGAAACCAGAGTAGTTTAACTAGAGAATTAAGAGATTTTCTTTTCACAGTGCCCATCTAGGTTTTCTAAGCAGAGCTGGACTGGTTTCTGAAAGCAGCTCAATCAGGTGCACAGATGGCTGGACAGAATAGAGAGAGACTTGCTTACAACAAGGTTAATTTTCATCAAAATGCTTGTCCTTTTAGGAGCACTTGCCAACAGAGAAGCAGGCCAACTCTGCTTTCTATTCTGTTGGAACAGCTTCTCAAGTTTCCTGGAAGAGTCTGTTCTTGGCAAATACAACTCAAAGGCCATTCTTGCATTGACAACAACATTGCCCCTGAAATCAAATGGGGGATCTTGCTGGGATGGATGGATAACACCAGTTACCCATTTATATACCCATTTATATTATAAAACAGTTCAGGTTTATCTGGGGGCAGAGAGAAAAGCAAAGCTGATACCAGACATCCAAATTCAAGTCAGACTCGACCATTGGAAGTTTGTTCATGTGTTCCATACACGTTAATGGGACAGTTGTTCAGTGGAACCAATCAGTTAACAATGACTCATATTTTCCAGATGCACCATAAATCAGCTTCCTGAGGCATCATCAGCTGAAACCAAGTCATGACTAGGACTGTTTCAACTCCTAGAACAACCCAGAGTAAAGGAGGAACGTTCATACTCACTTGGAAAGAGAAACACCCCCTGCCTTCCCAATCATCTCCTCATGGTGCAGCACCGCTTGGTTCCATGGGATGCGGAGAAACTTAAGGAGAGTTCTCATCCACCTTTCAGGATGCAACACAAGTTGTTCATAGTGCACCAGCATACACCGTTCAAACCCAACCTCCATGCACTGGTTGTACATGGTTTCTATAGCACGGTTCCACTTGGTCAAGCAGTCCCTGTAGCTGTTCAGGTCAAACCCAGCTATTGTGACTTTCCTGGATATCATGGAATGCACAGATGCACGGCCATCCCGTACCATCAGAAGGAATTTGGCATTGGGGAAAATCCTGGCAAGATAAGTTAAGGATTTTAGAGCAAAGGGATCCTTGTTGCACAAGTACGGCGCGGGCTCGCCGTGTTTCACGATGATTTCCAGCAGGAACGCCTGCATGGCCGAGTCCAGGACCTCATCCGTCACTCCGGCTTCGTCCAGGCGGATCTTCTCCTTGCTCGACCTCGCCCACATCTGCTTGACGGCCAGGATGCGCGGGATCACCCGGGTCTCCTCCCCGCAGCGGATGTCGGGGTGCGCGTCCAGCATGGCCCGCATCAGGGTGGTGCCGCTGCGAGGGACCCCCCCGATAAAAATCAAAGGCATGTCCTTGTTGTAGGCCAAGGTTCTGTTGGCGTTCCCGCCGGGAGCGGCTCCCGCCGTGCTCCTGACGCCGCTCTCCGCCCTGCCGGGCTGGCTGCGCTCCTCGATGCGGTGGTGACACTCCATGGCGTGCTGGCCCAGGTAGAACACCGTCACCGAGCTGATCACCAGGCACGCCAGCAGCAAGTTCTGCTTGAGCTTCCCAACCATTTTGGGAAAGGCTGTGTGGCTTCAAAACAACGAGACCTTCTAGTCCGAATTATCTCCTAGTTCACATGCCACGGGAATCCTCCAAAATAAATTAAGGTCTGTCAAAAGGGAGGAAAAAGTAAAAAAAAAAAAAAAAGGAGTAAAATTGGAGCATTGTTAAGAACCACTACAATAAATCAACACAGAAATTATTTCTCCAAGCTGTAATGAGATGAGATTAAGGTTGAAACCCCAAGATGCACAAAATAAACCCAAGGTTTTCCATTATTTATTTCTTTTCAGTTCAGCTTCTTAAAATTGCATTATTCAAAAGCAACTTTAATTTTTACAAATAAAAAAAAAACAAACCCAGACTGTATTAGACAATTTCTGGACATGTATTAAGAGTCTGAATAAAAACCTTTTAGATAGAAACAAAAGATTTAAATGTCTGTCTGCTGAATTCCAGTGTACAAGAAGGATTAAGAATATGCCATGTCCTACAGTGAATACCAAGGGGTTACATCCAACCCTGGCTTACATAAATCTGCTACTCTGCTGCCTGGATGATTCAATCTGTTCTTGCCAACCTGTATCTGTGATGACCAGAAAAAAAATAACGAGAATGTACAGACAGTCATTTTACCTGAATTCTGCAGTTAAACTGCGTTGGATTTTCAGATAAGATAGTCTGAAAACTGACTCCTCCTCTCAGAACTCGAACCAAATTGGTGCTCTGATTGCATTTTCAAGTACGAGCTGGCTGCTCGGGGCTGGAATGGCTCGGTGAACAGTATGAATCACAGATGCTTTTAATTGTGAGGATCTCCAAGCACTGAGGTACCGCCAACACTTTAAATGACTGGCTTCCTCAAAGCTTTTCCATCTCTGTCAGCAAGGCACAGCACATCCCTGAGTGAAGAACACCCTCGTGCCTACTCTCTCCAAACATTATCCACTTAACCTCTTCCTCCACCCGAATCCACTCGCTAACTCTGAGGTCAGGATTTGCGCCAGGCCCTGTCCCCCTGCCCTCCACAGCCCCTTTTCTGGGAGGCTGTGCAGCCACACAGAGCACACAATTCCCACCCAGCACCACAGCAGTGCCAGGGAAAAAGGGAGGAATTCCTCATGCAGGCATCTGCCACAGCAGCAACTTCCCATCCGACAGGGCCAGTCGCCAACCTGCACGAGATCGTCTCGCCCCTTCACACCAACAGAGCTCCCTCCAATCCCCAGCTGTCACAATACAGCACTCAAAGTTCAGCTTCTAGTCTTTGTTAGCAAAATTCAACTGGAAATACAGCTTGAGGATTAATTCACTTCTTTTTCTGTAAAGCAGCCAAGGAGCTCCCCACACACTCTGGCCAGGATACGGCTCTTATAAACAATTCATCCTCTGTAACGCGTTTCGTTCTACTTACGTACCTCTCCTTGCTGAAGAGCTGGCTTTAACTGTGCTTTAAATATCTGAATATTAAAAAAAAAACCAAGCTCCCAAAAATTTAAGTGAAGGTCATTCGACCGATGCTCAAGAAAGAAAGAAAAAAAGTAGATCGTGAGGTCAATACTCCCATAGCACCAAAAATCAGGAAGTTTCTCTTCTGAAAGATTCAGCACACAGACCTAACTTACAGTTAGGGAAGGTGAAACTGTTCTGCTTAAAACTAGCAAACAGGACACAGAATGTCTGTGAATTCTTTAGAGACAGTAAAGATTTAGTTACAAGTCAGTACTCATTCAAGAGAAAAGTTGACACAACTGAAACAGTGTTTTACCACAGAGCACATAAGATCTGCAAATATTTACACTGCACACAATCCCGAACATTACTCAGTTTGAGTAAATCTCATAAAATTAATTTCCTCAGGAAAAGAAAGAAAAAAACCCAAAAAACCTCCCATGAAAATCTCCATTTTCCAAACTGTAAATCACTCCTTGAAATCATTGATGTGTCCTCTAAAGTAACTGGTAACTCATCACCAGAGAAAAACTTACCAAGACCGAGGGCATCCAGTGCTTTACTCTGATCATTTCTATCAGAATATCACTCCAAGCCAGAACAAAACCAACACCAGCCTTCCCAACAAGTAGCATTGGAGGAAAGCCTGGAGACTGAAACCCTCAACTCACAGGTTGGGTGAAGCAGAGTGATGACTCAGGCTGGGCACAATTCCAGCTGGGAATAAAAAATGAGCCTTGCAGCCTGTCAGTAGGTTTCTTAAACTGCTGTATTGACCACTCACCTACACCCACCAAAACCCCCACATCAATCAACCACAAATACTTTCATTTGATGCAGTAACTTGTTTTGGTAAGTTCAAAGATGCCAAAGGCTGTGAGACCATAAAGGATCAGTATTAAACTCTTCCAAAACCTTCTGTATTGGTTTTAGGCCTGGAAGCAATACCTGGAGCCATAAAAACTGTGGCAAGACCAGGGCTTTGGATGTCCAAGAGAGGAGTGGTCAGAAACAGCTCCTCTCAGCAAATTAATCTGTTCTGTGAGCCAGCAAACTCCCCCCTGGGCCTGGAGTTACCAGTAAAGCTCTTTGGGATAAATATGACACATGGAAGTTACTGCCCTTCTAGCAGCCTGCAAACAAACCCCACCTTCCCCCTCCTCCCCATGAGTAAGTGCTCTGGAGCACATCTGTCAACCTGAAGGATTATAAAAGTTATTAATGCTCTGCTGTGAACAGGAACTAAACTGACAGCATTCAAAAAATCACAACAAGGCAATCAGCAATCCCTCGTCAGCGTTTAAGCAGAGCTTTGAAATATTGCTTTGACCAACTGTGACCTAAGGAGAGCAATGTGCCACTCACCCTAGGAGCACAGACAACTTGTTAATAAAAAGAGCCCAAAACAAACCAAACAAAAAACAGAGATCACCCAAACCAAAAACAAACACACCCCCTAACACACACACACACAACACAGTGAGGAAGTTGCAGATGATTACAAGGGTAGAGAGGCCTTTGGCAGCAAGTTTCAAATGACAGACTAAGAAGAACTCCCAGGAAAATTGAAGTGTAACTCAAAAAAAAAAAAAAAAATTAGGATTCACAAGGTTCATCACCAGAAAGTGCAGCCAAGCAGAATTGTATGTAACTGAGTTTTATGCCCAGAAAAGTCAGGCCTATGAGTCAGCCACATGATGATGTTAGTAAAGCAAAACCCACTGCTTTGTTTCCTTCTGCTGCACACACTAATTCTCCTTCCCTTCCCCTGCATGCAGCAGGTCAAGACCTTTTCCCTCGAGTTCACCCAAAAAATGTTGAAGATTTTTAGCTTAGTCAAGAGGCAAATCACTCATTTGTGTTTTATGTCAGAACAGTTTGGGTCTTGTTGTTGTTTAAAGCATTCCCTGCTAGAGGAAAAAAAAAAAGATGTTCCCATACCACCCAGTCCCAAGGAATCCTCTTGAGCTCTAGAGCTCAGCCTGTCACTTTGGAGGCTGGAAAGGGAGCATCTCCCATCCCCTGTTCAACCAGACACCTTTTTCCAAGGCTAAATTGAGAGGGCAGCAACACTGGCATTATCCATCTCAAAAAACCAAAACAAATCCAACCCTACATATATACATAAAGCATTTTTCAAGGATTAGCTTGTCCTCTGCTTCCATGTCTGAAACTTCTGATTCAGATTCTGACAACAGGATCATCTTCTAGGAAGGGCAAGTATGGTAGTACAGCTTAGATTTTTGTGGAGTGTGTCTTGTCCCTGCAGATGCCCAAGTGCAGTGAACAACTTCCCTTTATAGTTCACAATGTCAAATTAAATACTGGAAAGGCAGCAACGACTGAGAATTCTCAAGATTCATCTTTGAAACAGTACACATTTAAAAAACTGGAGACAATATATTTCTTAGAGGAAGTTCTGTATTAAGCTGATCAAATAGTCCAAGCTGCACACTGTGTTGGGTCTGTCAGCATTCCTTAATGAAAGCTAAAGAAAGGAATTCCCTAAAGCCTTTCCTTCAATGAACTGGTTTGTTTGTGGCTGTTTGTGTGTGTTCACCACAAAGAAGATTGCATAGGAAAGCCAACAGCGAAGTGATAATGGTATAGCACAACAGCAGGGAACACAACTGAAACATTCCCAGAACGCCACTTCAAGGAGCCACCCAAACCATCACAGGCTCATTTAGAAGACTTGCTCCAAAAAAATAACTGGAGTCTTCAGGAAGCAATTTTTTTATCCCTTCAAAGCAGCATTTGCACAATCACCTTAATGATTCTCCCAGAGATTGGATGTGTGTCACTACCAGTCACCAAACAGCACAGGGAAGCAAATCCCAAGCAAAATACTCGAAGCTAAAAATAAAATTCAAGAAGCCTCGAGTAGCAAGTCCATCTTTAGCTGTTTAAGTCGTCGTGGCTCTCAAGCCCTGCAGCTGCTTCCCCCCCAATTTCCCCTCCCATTAGTCATACAGGAAAACAGGAGGATAAAATTGAATGAGCAATTTTTGTTCACCTGCAGAAAGGAATAAGGAGCCCACAAAGAACTAACCAGTGGCAGAAAAGCATCTGGGGGGAAAGCCAGCAAAACTGACCTAGTGAAGCCAGTCTTCATGGAGAGCAGTTTCACAGCTACAATGGCAGAACAAAGTTGCACAAGATAAGGGAGTGCAGATGTGGGAACAACCTTCTCTTGCAGTGCAAACTGTAGGAACTTTAGAAATGTTTTTCACACATTTGCATTCCATTGAACCTACAAGGTTCAAGGTTGCCTTTTTTTTTTTTTTTTAATCTAAAGAAATTTAAAAGGCTAGATTAACCTTCATGGTCATACTCCATTGCTGAATCTAAAATTTCCATAATGGGTGAATGACACATACAACTATGTAATAATTCCATAATTATGCATTTCCATCCTATAATCAATAAGAGATAAAGAAAGCTGTATGCTTTCCTTTTACCAGTTATCCCCCCTCAGAAAAAAACCCAAATCCAGCTTTCTTCATAATCCTCCATTAGTCAGATAAATAGATACACACATGAATAAATACATATGTGTGTAAAGAGAAATTCAGAAGTGTTTGTCCTTCCTCTGAATTTAGCAACACTTACAGGTTTTCTTAAGAAGCATTAAAAAAAAATATTAAAACAGCCAAT